TTATGTAGTATGTACCTGATAGACTGATCATTGTACGTATTGTAGAGAGTCACTATCTTTTATAGCCAAGATAAAATATCAATAACTGATTAAATTCTCTCGTTACTTGTTTAATTTTTGTAAAACCGATGCTCGTGCAATAATACTTTAGTGTCTGTGCGTGTATCATACTCGTTGCATCGGTTTTATAGTTTTCAACGTTCAAAATTATTATATTTTACTTAATATGGCTGAATTTATCGAAAGTAATCGTGGTAAACCGTTATTAGTTTTAGATTGTTATAAATTTAGTATCGGATCAGTGAACAAAAAAACTAATTCAACACGTTGGCGATGTATTCGAAGAGATTGTGATGCTAAAGTGTTTACAGTAAATAAAATTGTCGTACAAGACCATCGTGAAAATTTATCACACAGACATAAGCCATATGATCGGAATACAATATCGAGGCAAATTGTTAGCTCAGCGTGCAAGCGGAAAGCAGTCGACGCACCCTCAGTTAGACCGAAAACAATTATCTTGAAAGAAGTTGGTGAAAATATTGAGTCTTCACAATTTACTACAACGGACATTAAAAGAATAAGGAAAAATGTATACGACGCTCGGCGCAAAGTATTGCCATCGTGTCCCACAAGTTTAGAAGAAGTTCATTCATCGTTGGAAAAAATGGACATAAAAACTAAACAAGGTGAGCCTTTTTTACTAGTGAACGATACAGAGAAAAACATAATTATATTTTCGTGTACCTCGAACATTTTATTCTTAAAAGAAATCGAGACATTATATATGGACGGGACATTTAAATATTCGGCTCGTTTTTTTACACAAATGTTCACTATCCATGGTCTTAAAAACGGAAACTATATTCCATTAATATTTTGTTTACTTCCAAACAAGACTACCGAAACTTACATTCATGCATTTCACTTGATATTACAGAAATGCACTTCTTTAGGTGTAACATTATTGCCTCAGTATGTAACGACAGATTATGAAAAAGCAATAATTAACGCAGTCCATGAAATTTGGCCACAAACTCAAATTATTGGGTGTAGGTTCCACTTAACCCAAGCTTGGTATCGCCAAATCCAAAAAGTAGGACTGGCTACTGAATATCAAGACCGATCTTCAGAAATTGGATTATGGTTGCGCCACACTTTTGGATTGCTTTTTCTAGAACCAAATAATGTTTTAGATTGTTTTCTTCAAAACTTTATGGCTGATCGTCCTATAGATGATAAAGTTATCAAATATGCAGACTATCTCATTGACAACTATTTAACAGACGATTGTGACTATCCTCCAGAAATATGGGCATCAGCAAGTTCTAGTTTACAACGCACGACTAATAACTGTGAATCCTTCCATGCAAATTTCAATCGAAGCTTTTATAAAGAATCTCCATCCATATTTAATTTGCTTGCGGTTTTAATTGATGAGGTACAAACTGAAATTTATATAAAACTTAGAAGTGTTCACTTGCCAAACCGTACTCAAGATCGATCAATCAGAGAGAGAAAATCCAAAAATGAAAAATATATATCAGATTATCAAAACGGACAACTTGACAGGTACCTACAGTATATAATTTATTAAAATAGCTATGCGTTTTTATTTCTTAATAGTAAATATATCACTAAAATATTTTTAGGTATGATTTTGTTAAGTTGGTTTCAAACAATTATTTCAAACAAATGTCATGAAAAGCGCTAACAAAACTCAGACGACGACAGAACACAATATTATATTGACCTTATATCATTTTTTTTTATATAATATATCTTATATTTTTAATAATATTTGCCATTATTTTACAACAATTATAGTTATTTTAAGTATAAACTAAACTCTAAAGTATATTATTATAGTAATTATTATTATTAATATTTGCTATTATATAACAACAACTACTCGTATATTAGTTTATTTCTTAATATTATATTATACTTAATAATTATTGACAAAAATTGTATATTATTATGTTATTCTTTTTATGCAACTTATATTTTAAAATTATGATTGCCATAATTTTACAAAAATTATATATCAATTATTTTCTTTATTTTACATATCATATTACAAAACTTTTTGTTTTGGTCGAAAAGAGAATTGGCGTTTTTTTAAAATTTGGTCGAAAAGTGAATCGGCCGAAAAGGGAAGGGTACGATTTTAGTCGAAAAGGGAATTGCCGTTTTTTTTAAATTTGGTCGAAAAGTGAATCGGCCGAAAAGGGAAGGGTACGTTTTTGGTCGAAAACGGTCTCGCCCGTTTGATTTATATCTCTGGTTCACCTGCGAAATGGACAAAACGAATTTATACAATTACACAAAATAAATTGTTTTGTCCTTGAATAATCTTAGAGAAAAATTCATCCATAAAAATACTACAGAGGATAATATTGTTGAGGGTATTACAGTATGGCACAACGATTTGTCGAAGTATATTGTCTCAAAACAATTTACAAATACTTATTTTAATTTTAAAGTCTATTACAAATTAATACCATTTAAAAAGGTTACACGAAACCCTCAAATATATTATCCTCTATACATTTTGTAAATGGTGATTTTATTCCGGGATTACTCAAGTCATATAAAACGATTTTACGTGAAAGTGTCTTAAACATAATATGGCACGTGGATCTTGAGAGATAAACAAAAAATTGGAGCTGACATCCTCTTAATTATATCATTATTTTGAAATATGAATGTAATTAGCTGCGTATGGTGAAATTCTGTGAAGAGTCAACCAGTAAATCATTTAGATTTAGTATTTGGTGTGATCGTCCGTCGTCAAACATACGTCGACGGACGCGGGTCTCTGTGTTGTTGTTACTTGTTAGTTGTTACTGCTGCAGTGCTGCGCGCGTCGAGCGCCGCGTTAGCTGATCGGCCCACTCCAAATTCCAGCAGACCGCTCCACCCTCCACCCCACAACCATAGTTTTGTAGGTTCTGTCGTGAGCACTAGCTCCACGTCGCGCCGCCATGCCCTTCAGTCGTTTTTGTGCCGCACGTACCGGCGCTTGTCGTCCGTGTTCGTTCTGTCTGCTGACTCTTCACCACCAGCCGAAGGTATGTTCATTTGCTTTATTTCTCATTTTCTAAAGGCGGGTTCCCCCATACACGTTATCTTAAGGGGATTCGATACCGTCATTTTCTGTTTTTGTCTAACACACGCGTGACATAGTAATGTAGACGTGTTTTTTGCCAAATATACCAATTGATCTAATAAAGTGATAAGAATTCTAAAAACATATTTGAATTTGTCGTCAAGTCTACTTGAATTCGACTTTCTCACATTTATGATTTTTTGATTTTAACTTCTCCGAAAATTGAAATACAAAAATTTTTAAATGCTCTTTTTTAATACGACATTTTTTAGGAATTTGGGGGATAATATCAAAAATGTGGGAAAGTCGATTTTAAGTAGACTTAAAGACAAATTCAAATCTGTTTTCAGATTTATTATCACTTCATTAGATCAATTAGTATGTTTGGCAAAAAACACGTCTAAATTACTATGTCATGCGTGTGTTAGATAAAAACAGAAAATGACGGTATCGAATCCCCTTAAGTTCTTAAGGCGGGTTTCCACTATACGCGTATGCCGTGTCCACGAAAAATGTTCAGCTATGCCCGAGAACGTGGAAACGTGGTCAATCGTGTGGTAACTTAACCTAACCATTCGCGGTAAAGGATTTGTACGCTCGCACGTGTTCAGTGGGGTTTCCCGTGTTGAATGGTAAGGCATTAGGTTACCACGCTGTTATTACGTTACTGTGTTGTTGATGGACATGGCTGAACTTTTTTCGTGTACACACAGCTTGGCGGGAACCCGCCGTGAACGTGTCTATTGCTGGAATAGAAACGTAAACGTGGTTTTGTATTTCTTTTCTTTTAAATCGAAGGCGTTGGTACTTTTTCTTTTCTCTCCTGCGTACCTCTGGGATGGACGTTCATAAAATTATTATATTTTATTTTATTGTATTCGAAAAAAATACAAATACCCATTTAAAAAAAATGTATTTATTAGTTTTTGATTACGATTTCCATTTTGTCTCATTAGACAGACATTCTATTACAATTTTTGTTAAGTTGAGTTGATAGAAGAGAGTTAATCACAAAATGAATGATGTTATAACATTAAGTTTTCAGTTTGTAAGCTAAGACTGTTACCTACCTATTTTTTTAAAGTGTAAACTAAGTATAAGTTATTTTAAAATAGGAGACAAAATTAGATCCAACTATAAGTTTATTTATTTAAATTAAATTCATATAGTCATGTGATCATGTACTAAACATGGGCCGGTATTTATGTGTGATTTGAATATTACTAGATGTTATCAAATTTCCCTGCTCAGTGGTTGATTTTCGTTGATAATCAGTTACGCTTCAATCAGTCTGAATTGGAATACAAGGAATACATTTTTTTACCAGATTTAATTTGAAATTAACATAAATTACATAGGTATATCATATATAATTTATTATGAGTCACTATGCTCTCAGAATGCATTCGAGGGCACCAAGGTGCACAGTTTGGGACCCCAATATTTGTCTACGAATGCTACCAGTAAAATACTTTTACATTTTGTAGCCAGAGGCAAGTGCCCATTATGTCCTTCTTAAAATACGCCTCCGGTTATCACTATGTGCATATAAAACAATTCTGTATTCGCTCATTTATTTGGCTACTATGATATTCTTATTGGACTTTTAGAAATTTAAAATATAATTATAGTGAAACGATTTTAAATGGATCCAATTAGACCTTCAAGGGGAAAATCTTGGGGACGTCCTCAAGTATAAACATATCAACCAGGTTTAACAGGTCCATCTGGATTTTCTCAGGTACCATTAGGACTTTCTCAAGGCAGAGGATCTAGACCAATAAATTCTACACAAGCACTGCAAACACCGATTACAGGACCAAGACCAACCACAACACAGCCAATAACTTCTACATAACCACTACAGACGCCAATTACAAGTGTAAACATGCAACGTCCACCTCGTCAAATGCCACCACGAGGTCCTGGTGCCCAACAGCAAAGGGCTCCTAGGCCACATGGACCAAGACCTGTGGTTTCTAGTGAGAAACCTGCAGTTCCTAAACAAAACCCAATGGCGGGAGTAAGCATTTTTTGATAATTCATACTAAACTTACATGTATTAAGTATTTATATGATGCTATGTTTTTTCCTTTCAAGGTGCAACAAGTTACAGAAGGATTTAAAACTTTGGGTACAGGTATATATAATTTATCTCAAATGTATAATATTTTATTCTAAATGATACAACTGACTTGTCTTTATAAAATCAAATAAATTTAAGTATGTGTTAAACTTGGCGGAACACCTAAGACTCTATGTTGCTCCTATTGTAACTCATATTAATTTTAAATTGTATTTATTTTACTTTATATTTGTTACAACTTCCTTAGGAGCAGATGTTCCAGCAACACAAATAGGGCGTGGAGCTGTCAGAGGTCGAAGACAACTTGATCTTGAACATTTTAGGACACCAAGACCTCAATCTTCATTGGGAACAGTTGGAAAACAGGGTAAAGAATAATTTAAATATTATATATTTTTCTTTATTTTTGAAATATATAATATCTTATTATCTGTATAAAAAACAAATAATTTTAAAACACCAGGGCATGTATTAAGGTTATTATAACACACTGCAAAAAAATACTTATTGTCTATAATCAGATATACTATAAATGTCAATGACATCAATTTGGGAAGTGAGATTTAATAGATTAACTAAATTTACTTGTACTATTTTATAAAATATTATAATATGGGAAATATAGATTGTGTTGCCTACATTTAATTAACCGTGTTTTAGTGTAATTTGAAACCATCTATGCATGTATATTGTCATTTTTGTTTACTAAGTGTTATACTATGTGTTAAAATTTTCCTCAGGAACTTCGGGTCAGCCTGTAAAATTGTTAGCAAATTACTTTCCCATAACATCATACACAAATTGGTGTTTGTACCAATACAGAGTTGACTTCAATCCCGAAGAAGATAAAATAAGTACTAAAAAAGGATTATTAGGTCAGCACCGAGAACGTTTGGGAGGATATTTATTTGATGGGTCAATGTTATTTTCTGGTAGCCGATTTGATCCACCAGTAAGTTGTATGATTTTTTAAATGTGAATTGTGAAAAAGTAGATATTTTTTTATAAACATTAGATGTTTTGTGATTGTCTATGCAACCCGGTATTATAATGTTAATTAATCAATTTTAATATTTTGATTTAGAATTTTGAACTTACTTCTACCCGGCGCTCAGATGATCAAATTGTAGTAATTTCAGTAAAATTCACAAATGTTATTGAGACTGGTGATTATGCCAACATTCAAGTCTTCAATTTACTTTTGCGCAATTGTCTTCGTCATCTGAAACTAACAATGGTTGGAAGAAACTTTTATGATCCAGATGCTAAAGTAAATTTGCAATTTTATAATAATTTTATTTGTAATTTTTCTGAGAACTCCTTAATATTGGTTGTAGATTGATATGGCTCAATATAAGCTTCAACTTTGGCCAGGCTATGAAACGACAATTGGCAGGTATGAAGACAACATTTTACTATGTGCTGAAATTTCAACAAAAGTCATGCGTCAAGAAACTGTATTGGATTTTTTAAATCAGTGTGCTAATGACAGAAACCGAAATAAAGATTGGATGGTAATTTTATTATGATTTTGTTGGATTTCAGCAAAATGAACCTTAAATAAATTTAATAAATACCTATAAAATACCTATAATAAATAATGACTAATGTATTGTATTATTTAGATAAACTTTAAAAGTGGGGTCGTCGGTACTACAGTGATGACTAAATATAACAATGAAACATACAGAATTGATGACATAGATGAAAATTCTGACCCTACCTCCGAATTTACTAAAAAAGATGGATCTAAAATGACGTATATCCAATATTACAAAGAAGTACGTAACTTGTGTTAATTTTCATTATTGTAGATCTTATTTAATATATTGATTACTGTATTAGAAATGGAATTTAACCATTCGTACTGCCAGGCAACCAATGTTAATTTCAAAAAATAAAAGATCCATACGACGATTTGGAGAAGAAGATACATTGGTGTATCTTGTTCCAGAATTATGTGTGATGACTGGTTTAACTGATGCCATGAGGTAATTCTATTAAAATTAACTCCATTTGTTTTACTTTTTAATTAATGCGGACATTTTTGTTTTAATTTATAGAAATAATTTTACGCTTATGAAAGATATGGCCATACATACCCGTGTGAATCCCAAAGAACGCATAGAACGACTAACAAATTTTGCAAATCGTCTTCTTAGAACACCAGACGTAAATAATTTTCATTTTTATGTAGTTTATAAAGGGTCTTGGAGATTTTTTTTTAAATTATTACTACTGATGTAATTTTATGTAGTCTGTAGTTGAATTGAAAAGGTGGAACCTGACATTGAGTAATAAGCTTGTTGAACTAACTGCTCGTACTTTACAACCGGAACCAATTCAGAGTCGTTCTAAAGGATATAATGGTGGTGAAGAAGCAGACTGGACAAAACATTTACGTGCTTTACCAATGTTCACCTCTGCGATTGTGAAGCATTGGGTTATTTTAGCTCCTAAGGACTGTCTTCGAGAAGTTGATGCATTTGCTCAGACTCTGGCAAAGGCTGCACAAGGGATGACATTTACACTACCTAAGCCTGCTATGTAAGTAAAGTTTCCTTTATAATTCCCTATGTAGGGTTTCTGCCATATTGTTTACTCAAACTCACGAGTATAATTTTCAGAGTACCGATGGCTGATGGAAGATCAAATACATTTTTAAACCATTTGGAACAAGTAATCAATGAATCGAATCCAGCTTTGATATTATGTGTTATTCCATCGGCACGTGGTGATATTTATAGTTTGATTAAAAGGAAATTATGTATTGATAGAGCAGGTATATTTATTATTTTAATATTTTTTTTTATATTTTGTGAATTTTTCATTTGTATTTTACGTGTATTCAACTTTATTTTCAGTACCATCGCAAGTAGTACTATTGAAAAATGTGCAAAAAAACAATTTATCTGTGTGCACAAAAATCGCCATTCAAATTAACTGTAAACTTGGAGGTGCCCCTTGGCTAGTTACCATTCCTAAAAAAGTAATTGTTTGATTATATCAAGTTTCATTCAAATTATTTATTATTTATTATTCTTTAAATGAATTATTTTTTAAGGGGATGATGATTGTTGGTTTTGATGTATGTCATGATAGTCAACGGAAAAATATATCATTTGGAGCTTTAGTGTCAACCATGAATGACTCTCATACAAGTTACTTCAGTTGTGTGGAACCTCACGAAAGTGGAGAGGAACTTTCTGTTCATTTTGCAACCGGCATAACTAGTAAGTACTTACAAACTTTTATTGTATTTTGTTCGACAAATGATAAACACCAACAATGAACATGTTTTTAAACGCTTCAAACTATTAATTGTATAATTAATTGGTTGTTGAAAGTTGACTACTGTGACAATTAACCGATTACTGACCTTTTAATTTAAATTCTCTGAAAATTTGCTTTAGGAAAACAAGTATAATTTAGGAACTTGCTATGTATGTAATGAAAGTGTATATTTAAAACAAATATAGGAATAGAAAACTTTAACTAGATAGGTCCTGGATCATTATTTGTCAAATCCTATTGACAAACAAGAATATACCCGTGAACTTCAAGAATAATGTTCCTCTGCTGTTAAATACATTGTTATTATTTTAATTGTTGAACTAATGGTTGTATTTTGTATTTCATATTGGTGATTGTTAGTCATGAAGTTACTTTGATATTAAATTATAACTTTATTTAAAGTGATCACTTAGGATGTGTGTTTGGTGTTGAAATAAGCCAACCAACTTCTCCTGAGTAGTGTAAGGATGAATTCAGCCTTTGTTTTTTAAAACAAAGAGTGATGTGTTGCCTAATAATTTATTAAATTACAATTTACAAAATACTTACATTTAATAGAAGTGAGGTTTATTTTATAAATCTGTTATGATTCAACTTGTATTCCTTCCTGCAGAATTCAAAATTTAAGAAAAATTCTTGGGTGTGAAAATAATTATATATGTCTCCAGATTTTTAAACAATATACTTACTAAAAATTGATGTTGTTATTTTTCAGAGGCCTTGGCCAAGTACAGAGCTAAAAATGGGTCATTACCTACTTCCATTATTGTATACAGAGATGGTGTTGGAGAAGGCCAAATATCACATGTTCATAAGACAGAAGTTAGACTTTTACAGGTATGTTATATTTTAATAAGTTGTTATTTCATATTTGTATATGTTTTTTCTTTACAGACTGCTTGTGAACAAGTTTACGGTCCAAAGTCTGTTCCATTTGCTTTTGTTATAGTTACCAAACGTATTAGTGCAAGATTTTTTGCTCCTACTAATAGAGGCCCTGAAAATCCTCGACCTGGTACAATTATTGATACTGTGGTTACAGACCCGACCAAGTAAGCTAGTGTTATATCGGTTATTTTATTATGAATTCTATATATTGTGATCAATATAACTAAATTCTGTTGTAATTTGTATGGTTAATTGTTAGTTTGTGATGTATTACTTGATATTTGTATGGCAGTGTAGGTAAACAAAGTGTAATGCTCTTAATTGTGAATTTCAGGTATGATTTCTTTTTAGTTTCTCAACATGTAAGACAGGGTACTGTAACTCCTACACATTATCAAGTGATTGAAGACACACTTAGACTTCCTCCCGATATTATGCAAAGACTTACATTCAAGTTGACCCATATGTACTACAATTGGTCGGTTAGTATACTTTTGTGAATAATTTTTTATTTTACCCATTTAATGTTTTTGACATCACGCTTAGGGTACTGTGCGGGTTCCTGCTCCATGTCAGTTGGCACACAAGTTGGCATTCCTCACTGGTCAGACCCTCAGACGTTCTCCACATACAGGATTGGATGAGTTATTATACTTTTTATAATTGTATATTGTGATATGGCCTTTCACATTACTAATTTTATTAACTACTTTTTATGAAGTAATATTTAAATATTTTTATTTTATTGATCTTTTGATAGTGTTTAATGATAGAATAGCCTTTTATTTTTAGTTTAATTACTTGTTTTGTCATATCACTTCTTAATTATTAACTTTAACATTTGACAATTTCATTTTCACTTCCTAAAATAGTTTTAATAATTACAATTGTTATTTTTTCATTATTGAATAAAGTAATGGTTTGAAAATTTCCAATTGAATTTATGGTTTTTTTCCTTTTTAGTGTTCCTGAAAGTTTGGTGAAATTAAACACTTCAGTATTAAGAGGATGTGATATCTGCATGTGTTGTCTCTTTTTTACAAGTGCGTAAAATAACAAATTTTAAGTTCAGCAGAACACGTGTAGCTACGTTAGTTTAAAAATTAGTGTGAATTGACCTCTTCTAAAATCTTATGGTAAGATTATTATCTAGGCAATCTCATAGGTTTTTTATTATATTTTAATATTAACGAGAGTTGTGAGTATTTTAAATTTGTAAATTTTTTATACATCTTAAAATACTTAAAACTCGCTTAAAAATAAAAATATAATAAAAAGACCTATGAGGTTGCCTAGATAATAATCTTGCATTAAGATTTTATTAGAGGTCAATTCACTTTAATTTTTAATTTAACGGAGCTGCTACACGTGTTCTGCTGATGTACAATTTGCTATGTTACACACTTGTAAAACGGAGACAACACATGCGGGTATCACGTCCTCTTAATGTAATGAGTAATGACATTAAACCGTCTCAATTTCTGTACTACAAATTTCCAATTACGGTTTCACCCTTTATGTCTAGCTTAAATTATAGGAGTTGCTAATTATAATACAGAGAAACCTTTATTACTGGATGTATCTATAAAGTATAAAACATAGATATTCTTATTCTTGGTAACACTGGTCATAAGTACACTGCCCGAATAGTTACACGTAGTTACACTATTGGCTTAAGACAATACAGTACCTTTGAATACAGTGGCATTATATGGGTATTCTGGTATAGTTTTGGAATACAAAAGTATAACTTCAGGTTCATGTTTGTAAAGGATTCTATGTTTCTTGGATCACTGGTAAACAGGGCAAATCGCGGAACTGGTGTTCATATGCCAGATCAAATGTCTTCCTTAAGTTGATTTTTAATACATACTTAGTCTAGTACTCGGAGAGAACGTGGTTGATTCTTTTCATCCCTATTTAAGATGGTTACATTATGGAACCTTGGGCGTCATGTGGGAATGTTCAAAACAACTTAATTTTTTTTGTGTACAGCAAATTATAACAAGTATACATATATAACTTGAAATTTAATTGACTGGCTCTTGTTACACTTTCTTCACATTTCGGATATTATTCTTACTAATTTAGTTTGACCATTTATTTATTAATACATTTTATAAGCTCATTTCATAAAATGTTGTTTTTTTCTTGTATACAATTTATTTTGTACTGGTTTAAAACTTGATGTATCATATTTTTTAAAAGTAATTAAAATAATTGAATCAACTTAGTTTACGAGATTACCTATCTGAAATTGTATCAATTATCATTAAAATAGTGTGTAAAAGTAGTTATGAGGACACTACCAGTGCATGTGTTTTCTCAGTCTTACAAATGTATTTGTCGCATCCACTTAGTGTAATCGTATTTTTCATGAAATGGATATCCATTTCATGAACAACGATCATATCGTGTAAGTCAAATTTTAGTTCATGAAATGGACATATATTTTATCCATTTCATGAAATGGAAACTCTTATTTTACACTTTGTGTAATATTTTTAATTAATTACATCAATAGGTAACTTTTTGTGAAATCGAAATAATAACATTGATACGAGTACATTTTATTACATTTATTCATGATTATTATAATTATGTAATATTGTATTATAATTATATTTTATAATAATAATAAATTATATAAATATAAATAGTTATATAATCATTATCGTTGTGAAATCGAAATAATAATATTGATAATTTTATTATCATTTTTATTTATTATATTATAATTTTTATTTTTATTAATAATTTATTATTTATATAAATAATAAATTATTACTTATTTTTACAAATACTAGAGCTATGGCAACGACTGTTACATTTTACCGAAGCTTTAAAACAAGCACAACGTTTTGATTCACATTGGCGTTTACAAATGCAACTTAAAAAACCTTGTCCCCCAGAAATATGAGAAACGGTTTCCCGTAATGTAAGTTCTTTATCATTATTAACTTCGGTAATTTTTAAAAAATTAGATGTCGCGGGTTTTAAACTTGCTGAATTGTACCACCCTTTTACTAAGCCATACTGAGTTCCGAGTTGGTGCAGTTTATGTTCGTTCTGATTGACAATAACTGCAATTACATTGGCAGGATCTGACGGTCCTCGATCTACTTTAGGTACTGTTATTAAGACGCAATCACCAATTTGTAAATCAGGAACCCTTGTTTGGCTGACCTAAAGACAATGATATTACAATGATTTTAAATAAAAAATAGATTAAATAGGTACAATGATTTAAAAAGATACCTTTAACATGATTTCAGCTGCTTTTTCTTGTCCTTGATATCCAAGTTGACGTTGTTTGTTTATTTTTTCACTAGTTTTACATAAATCACAAATAATAGTTCCGGCAAATTCGACCTCAGTTAACATTTCTGTATTACAAATACTACAATATGATGTAATCTGTTCTTTTTCATGTTCTGGTTGAATATTATTTAAAATTTCTTCAAGATGTTCTTCAGTGGTTAGTTTTTTTATTATTTCTGATGGAATATTTGATGATGACAATCCAATTTTCGGGTCACATCCAAATAATGCTTTATACGGCGATCGTCCTATTATTCGATGGAAAGACGAATTTTTTTGAAACTGTACAAATTGTAATCCAACCGACCATTTTTTAGATTGGTTATCCTTCATCCAAGCACGAATCATATTCTCAATGTCTTGATTACTTCTTTCAACACTTCCCTGACTTTGGGGATGACGTGGTCGGCCGTGGACTATCGTACATTGTGGCCACAGATCCTTTAATTCCTTAATAATGGAGTTAACAAATTCTCGTCCATTATCACTCTGAAGTATTTTAGGGGCTCCAAATGTAAGAAAAATAGTGAGTAATTTGTTTGCCACTTCTATAGCTCGTTTGCTTTCAAGAGGATGCAATAATAAAAATTTTGTATTGTGGTCCTGATAATTCATGATCCATTTATATTTACCATCAGGTGTTGACTGGAAATCGACTAAATCGACTTGGCCTCTTTCATTGAAATCTTTAGTTACAATTGGTTTGATAACTAGTTTCCGATTTGCTCCTTGCTTGGAATTACATATTGCACATACAGACAAAAACTTTTCTATTGCTGGTCTTGGAATTTTGTATTTATGACCCATTGACATACGTAATTTAACAATTCCACCATGTCCCGTTTTAATGTGAAAATCCTTAATACGATCGTACAACTCTTCGTATGGTACAACGTACCTGTTAAAATAATTAAATTAACAATACAGAATACAAATTATAAAAAAACAAATCAAAAATTACCTTATGTCTTCATCTTCATCAGTTTTTTTATAAATCAAAAACTTTTGATCTGTAACGCACAGGACATCATATGTTTTGATAAGATAATAATCTCGCCTCTCTTTTTTACCACTATAAAATAATGTAAATTCCAAATTATAAAGAAATATTGTTTAAATATTAATGGTTAAACACACAACTTTATAAAACAGATGCTGTTATTAATTATTTTTATATATACAATTAACAATAAAATATATTTTTAATTATTATTAAAATTATTTTTATAGTTGCTTTATAGTTATGCTTTTAATGATATTATTATTTTAAAGTGAGTTACAGCTATGTGAAATATTACAACTTTAAAATGTTCATAACTCACTTTAAAATAATAATATCATTAAAAGCATATGTCTTTGTCTAGATAATATTCTTACCTTTAAATTTGATCATAGGTAAATGTACTCTAATATTAAAGCTAACATCACAAAATGTATTCTACTGAATGAAAATTTGTTATAATGTACGTTAGTAAGACAGAGACCTCTTAATTCCAAATAACATAAAACAAAATAGTTTTTTGAAATACAAGCCCTGATGGCTGATTGTTATAATTTTATTTGAAGTTTAAATATTTTGTATATTTTAACAATTACTTACATTTTTATTTTGGCCGCTAATATTTCTTCAATTATTAATTGAACCTCATTTTTGGTGGGTGGTTTTTTCCCGGGTTTGCCTACATAGTAGGCATTTAATTTTTCATAATATTCAGCAAATGAATCAAATTCCATTTTATAAATTGTATTCCTTGTAATGAACGTTAATATACGGCTCGCATCAAGTCAGAGAACGTACTATATAAAAATAAAAATAAAAACTTTCCAGAGTGCTATTACACTCATACAATTGATGCGATTATTTATCGATAACAGGTGTCGATAACATATTACTTATTAGTATAGTACAGTAAGTTCTACAATACCTATTTAGTATCTTAATGCTTACAATTTAAAGATACTAGATTCGTGTACTCGTATCAATGTTATTATTTCGATTTCACAAAAAGTTACCTATTGATGTAATTAATTAAAAATATTACACAAAGTGTAAAATAAGAGTTTCCATTTCATGAAATGGATAAAATATATGTCCATTTCATGAACTAAAATTTGACTTACACGATATGATCGTTGTTCATGAAATGGATATCCATTTCATGAAAAATACGATTACACTAAGTGGATGCGACATATTCATAGCAAAATCTGTTTTGCACAGGATATAATCACTTGAGCCGTAATTCTAGCTAAGCAACTAAATTTTCGAAGGATAAAGAGGTGAACATATACTATGCAACAACTTCATTGTTTTTATGATTTAACATCTGAAAAAAGTTATTCAAATTTGAAAAACTCAAAAATTATGAATTTGTTTGTTATACTTCTTTCAGATGGATACAACACTTGGTTGTGGTGTCCTCTTTAGAAAGCATAAGATTTTATTAAAATAGTATAACATTTTGAAAGAAAAAAATTACAAAAGTAAATATTGGTGGTCAGTATTTATTTACACATACTAGAAAAGTCATCAGAAGCTCTATCTATTTGCTTCAATGCTACTGTTTTTAAATAAATTTAAAAAAAGATTTACATAATTTATGTTATATTAACTATAACTAAGATGTGGTTATTAACAAACAGTTCCTGATCCTTAAGTGGCTACTTACAATACATAGGCTGATTCACCGTTTACCAGCTTTACTTCTTACAAAACACAATAATTTGATGAAATAATTATGGTATATAGTAAATTGAAATTGAATGAACTTTAGAAACCTTATTTCAAACCTGGAATTTCAGGAAGTATTTTCATCATAGGTGGCATGTAATTCTGTAACTTGTGCCATGTAACCAAGTGGTCGGATACAGAGTTTTAATTTTTCTGATTTCCGGAAAGGTATACATTTTGTTATTTTATATTGTTACATGTTATGCATTCACTATATTAATGATTTGATATTTTGTTGTATATCACAATCACCAACATGCCTACCCTTCATGACGGGGAACTTTTAAGATTAGTAGTACTTAGTTTGTCCTTGTAGTTGTTGTCATGTATTCCCAGTGACAAAGACAGGTTAAGAATTCTATATGTGAACAGGTTAGCACCCATAAAATAATCGCTCAAGACCAGGATACTGGAGTAACCACATTTGGGTTTTATGATAACGTGCGTAGATGATGAGAGTTTAAGCAAGTATTCATATATTTTCAGGTATTCTTATATCTTCACAGATGATTTTGTTTTTCTGATTTATTGTAATAATTAATATCATGAATAAGATTTTTCATGGTGTTAGGTTTTCAAAGGCTGTTGATGTCCATTACAGCGACTTAAACCTGCTTCCATTTATCCCTATTTTGTGATTTTCTTGTATTCCAATCTGGCAATCGCTTTCACCTTTTTTTTATCCATTTTTGTTGTGATCTTCTTAGTTGTCTTTTTCAATAAGTCCTCTATTTTGGACAGCTTTCATTTAACCGTCTCCATATGTGACTAGCCCACGCAATTCTTCTATATTGCAATACTGCTACTATGTCTAGATCTTTGTTTAGCTGTTGTAGTTCTATATTGCATCTTACTTCACAGTGTTGGCTCATTATACTATAATCATTCATCTTGGTGTGTCATAAATGTTCAATTTTGGTTCGATAATTCTGGTTTAACTAAATACCTTACAAGCATCTATGTTAGTCTACCTTAGTATAGCTACAAATGGAAGAAATCAAGGAATGTAAATAATCTACTATTAAGTGAATGCAGGATCGTCTACATTTATTTGCAAGGCCCAGAGCATAACTCTTAACAAGCTCTATAGAATATGTGATGTTTTCCACTCTAAGGCAATTACACTCTCGTTACCTCTCCCAAAAAAATGTAAACATAATTAAAGTATTTTTCCTAGTACCTAACCTAACCATTTTAAATATTTATATTTTCATTAATTTGTTGTATATTTTTGTAATACATTATATAATACATTAACATATCCTGTTAGGTATTGTAGAGATCAACAAATATGTCAATATCAAGTCCAATTTGTCTGCTATTCATGTTCAATTGATATCATTGCTCAATTTTTTGGTTTTTCTCGATTTGTTGAAGTTCTTATGTACTTTTATTTATAAACTTTTATTCAGAAAATGATCTAAGCTGTTGCTATTGTAATTGGTATTTGTAAAAATGAATGTCTGTCTGTTCCTTTATGCCAGTCTCAACGGTTGGACCGATTTTAATGAAATATTTTGTGTGTGTTTAGATAGATATAGATCCCACCTGGGAAGGTGCTCATACAGTGATTTTGAGATTTACATGTGAAATAATATGTGGTATTGTGGTTCATTCACTCTACTACAATATAACATATATAACATGTGTTCTGTATACATAGGTTGTTAAAAATGTATTGTTCAGTTAAAAAACATCAATCTTAGGTATTATATATGACATGTATACACAAATAAATACATAAAACTGTACAAATAATAAATCAATAAGTCAATAAGTCAAAAAAAAATATAAAGTAGTACCTATAATAATAAAACAAAAGTGTGGTAATATAATGGTAAAAAAATTATTTATAAAATTGCTTGGGCTTATATTTTTTAGCAAATATGATTGGAATCACTTCCATATTTATTATTTGTCTATTGGGAGGCAACTAGTATGCTAGAACCTTTTTGTTTACTGTACAATTCAGTGTAGGCAACTTGTACATAGTTGGTAGTCAATTTGTACAACATTTTACTTACTTTTTGATTTTGGGAGGCACAGTGTGCTTTCAAATTAAATTATATACAATTAGCCCTCCGCACCGGACCGAAAATCGAACCCACATCTCTCACTTGCTGGGCATTTGCTTTTTCAGTGAGCTGCCCTATAGCATAGACTTAAGATGCTATTTCCCCAACGTTTTTGTTGATTAATGTACTATTTTAATTTTGTTTGTGAGTAAAAGTGTTTGACATTTAATACTTAATTCCACATAAGTTTTATTTCAAAAAATAGGGAATTTCCAAAAAAACATGGTTACAATTTGTTTTATAAGTAGGTATCCAAAGTTTAAATTTTGACTTAACATTTTTCATAATGCTTATAATCTATATTAACATTTTTTTTTGTGCTTAACAAATAGTAAAATTGAACATTATAATTTGTCTTTAAAAACAAAAATTCAATGAAAATACATACATTTTCACCGAATGTTTGTATTAGAATTTTCTAGATATACGGTACAATTTAACAAAATATTTTGGCTCTTTTTCAACTATAGACATAAGAAATTCATTTTTTTTAAAATTTAATTAATGAAAAATTCTTTGCAATGTAGAACAGTTTGCAAATTTTAATATTCATTAAAATGCAATGCAAGTATGCAACACACGCATTATGCTGTCTCCATTTTTCAAATGTACAACATTCAGCAAATTTCTATTCAGAAGAACCAATTTTGTGCTTACACTTTTACAATAGATTGAACTGTTATCAAATTTAAATATAAGAACTAAATTTGTGTTGTTCCGTTGATTTATGTACAATATTTTAATGTTAAAGCAAGTTTATTTTTGTTAAGGACTTGACTAAACACCTGACATAACTATTTATCTTGATTCTTATTTATTACTTGCCAATATGTCAGATTTGATTCTTTGACTTTATATCTATTTATTGCTGTATATTACGAATCATATAATAAAAATATATTGTTTAAATGTCACAATATACATCTAAATATTTGGCATAATTTTTTAATAGGAAGTAAATCATATTTTATTTTGGGTTCGTAAATGGGCTTTTAAAGTTTTCAACAAATTCGATTTTGTTTTTATGGTGGAACTCAAATCTAATCACTGTATATACCATTAAAGTTTCACCAAATGTTGAACATGAACCTAACCATGCATGTTACAATTTTCGAAAATAAAAATAATATTATATCGAATCTTTTTAAGGTATTTAGAAGTATGAGCAACCTTGAATATTTAAAACTTTTTTAAAATTTTTGACGGTCAATAATTTTATGCTCTTGTTATTTTTAAAACCTTGAAAGTTTAATAAATTAAAGTTAATACAAGGTTTCTCATGAGTTGTTATTTGTGTAATTATTAATGTAAAAAGAAAGTTGAGCGTAAGTCCATAATATTGGTATTGCCCTATTATGAAATTAATTTTAAGGACTTTTCTATGTTTGTATGTGGGTTTTTAATGATAGTATAATTTTTTAGCAAGTTTTGCGTACATAATATAGCGCAATTAAAAAATAATAATTACTCATTTAAAAGTTGAATTTTCGTAAAAACCCACATACAAACACAAATTAAGTTCAAATCCTTAAGTTGCATAGTAGGTCAAATTATTTTAATTTTTAAACTAACAAAGCTAAACTATAATTATGGCAGTGCGAAAATTAGGTAAGTTACGCACTTGTAAGATGGTGTCAATAGGTATGATTGTACCGTCCTATTCAGTGATAAATCATATATGACTTGGGAAATATATTATCAAGAGACTCTGGAAAATGGTCATTTTAAGTCGGACCATTTAAGACGAGTTCAACTAAGCTATTAGAAGACTAATATTTGGCGAGGAAAGCAGCGTCTAAGAAGTTCTAAAAAAAGTAGTATTCATGTCTGGGCCCTATTTATTTTGAATATGCCGTCAATTTATTTTGTTATTATAAATCAACGAGTATCCATCACATCCAATGCTATGTTTATTTTGTTATAGGCTTATTTTTTAAACATTTTTAGTATATTAATTAATTTCAGTTTTTTTATATTCAATTTAATATGATTTTTGCTGAATTCTTACCAATCGCATTTGTAGTGGTAATATTTTTTTGGGTAATTTTGTTATTGAAAAAACAAGATGATTCTGATGGTCTGTCATCAAAACAGCCCTCAGTGCCAGTGAAATTTGAGCGGTTGTCAACGTTAGATCAATTGAATCTTTTACTCAACAACCTGGAAGAGCTTGAACAGCAAGACCTCATCCCGTGTAAAACAAAACTGAAAACAGTAGCCGACCGTATCAAAAATGTGAACGGACTTCGGATAAAATCTGAACTCTTATACAAAGATGAACTGATGCAATACGAGGTTGCTATCGATTGGATTAAGTCACCTGCTGAGTTTCGAAACAGGTAGGCCGTAATGATATACTCTAGCGGTTCTCAAACTGTGTTCTGCGGAGCCCTGGGATTCCGCGAGAGTAATCTAGGGGCTCCGCTAAGTATGAGAACCGCTGATATACTCTAACATAAATAATAATTTGAAACGGAGCCGTAAAAAGAGTCACCTCAAGTATGGCCGAAATTATTGCTAAATGACGTATGTGAATTAAAACTAGTCATGTTAAGGGATTGGAATTTTTGTAATTTTTAAACTAAATGGATTACAATATTTAAACTTTTAAGGCTGAAAATAAAAAATATGGTTTGGGTCATGTACGGATGGCATAAGCCATAAATTATCATATTCAGCAGACGTATGATAGAGTTGGAATATTTTTTCCAAATAAAAATTATGATGAGTGGTATTACTATTATAATGGGTAGTATTGACTAGAAATCCTATATTCATGAGGTCCCTTTATTCGATTTACATCTGGAGAATTGGATTAATTGTTACAGGTGCGGACCACCCAACTTCTTTCCTGCGTACTCTCCCTTGACGGAGAGTGACATGGAACGATTAGCCGAGTTGGCTTTGCCACCGGTTGACTTTACCAGAACGCCAGTCGGACCATCGCGGTGGTCAGTTGCTAGCGGTGAATCGCCACTTCCGCCAGTGGACCAATTTGTGGCAAATATTGTTTGCTTAATGATAGACATTTTGGATATGGTATGGAAAATGAAATCCAAAGTGAGTTCATGGCCTTACACAGAACACTTTGCTGAACACGGTGGATTGATAGATTTTCTGCGCCGTGCTATTGTCGTTAGCGCTGAAGAAGATATGGACGGGAACAAAACGATATTCATTTTGGATATTATGGTACCAGCTAGTGTGACCCTAGACCGTATTCCCGAAGTTAATGCCACCGGGCTACCGATAAGACCACTGAGGGGACTCTGCTGCACTCCGGTGAAGTACACGGAATCGAATGCATAAATTGTTGTGGACAAATTGTGGGAGGAAACGTCTTGTACACAAAATCAATCGACAGACATTTTTTAATAAATTGATAGGTATATTATGTAATTATATACTTTACCAAAAATTATTTAACTAAAAATGAGCTTACCTTAATAGAAATTTAAAATTCAGTTTGTTAGAGTATAGTTTAAAAAACAAGTGTCACTGTTGCACTGTATATATGACTCATTGCCCTTCCACAAGTTAAGTTTAGTTCTTCAGTGATGTCTAGTGGAGCAAAACGTTTACGAGGTTATAGGTATAACAAGTGTAACTTTTATGTTAATATTTAAGATAAACTAATCATATTTTACCATCTTAGTAAAAGGTCTGAGACCCAGGCATTTTTATTTCTAACTTTTAAAAACTATTACCTATATCAGTGCACATTTAATATTATTATCCTTTCTTCAAGTTTTACATTTCTGACTCACTCATTTTATAATGTTTCAGATTCAATGTCCAGTATTTTTAATATTCTAAGAAATGTGTTAGTGTTCTTGATAGGTACTTTTATTTAAACTAATCCCTCAAAGATCGGCTTACTACGATTTTTCTGTAAATTGTTACTATAAAAATATAATATCATATAGTTTACTAATTATGTTTGTTTATTTGAACTTTGGAGTCTGCAGCGGGTGCCACTCTTACTGGAATACTACAGCATTTATTTTTAGTATCACGAGTACTTTACTCTCTTAGTATGATCATGCGTGATTTAAATTAATATTATATGTGTTAAGTTCTTCCGGGAAAATAACGTAAAAAATCAGCCCTACACGCCGCACCCACGTCTCTCATTTGTCGGATGTTTGCTCTTCCGTTAATCTACCAGATAGCAGAATAAAATAGAATAGAAGATACTATTTCCCCAAAGTTAAAATGTCTCATGTTACTCATATCAATCAAAAGAGGAAAATTTAAAATTTGAAACATGCATCATTCCACTAATACCTCTTTTATTAAACAGGAAATCTCAAATAAAAGATTTGTCACAAAAAACATAATGACTGTAACTCACAAATAACCAATACTCCCTAATGCTCTTTTTTATTGATATCGATCCAAGTCCATCAAATTCCGATATTTTCAAACTAAGTTTATTGTGTTACATTAAAATTAAGTTGAAATTTCCCATCCTAAAGAAGAAATTCCGCAATGCTACGGCTGTCAGATGTATGACCACTGTATGTGCCACTTGTGGCTATTGTAATCACTCCCCTTTTGCTGTGGTGATGCATGAGTCAACAACTTGTACCAAGGATCGCAGCTTCCCGGCAACATCTGCTCTATGTAGTGGAAATCACCCGGCCAACTGTAGAGGTTCTCAATCTCACCTGGATCTTAAAAAATGATTAGTATCGAACCCTTCTAAAAATATCTTGAATAAAAGTTCCCTTCCATGTCATCCACGTGGATTTCAACCTACGCACCAATCTTACGCACAAAATGTTCGACCATTAAATCAAGATTCATCTTCTCACACTCAAGACATCAGCTTAAACAAAAACCAAATATCACTGCACTACTCTCCTCATTTATAAATTAATTTAAAGCATTAATAAACTCACTTAGATCACTTCTCACTATGGCCATCGACAAACTCTTAAATAACGCCAACAAATAACATGAATCACTGTCCGTATTCTTATGGAACTCTAACGGCATCCAACAACATTTATTTTTATTTTATCTATTTAATTAATTACAGGCCCAATATAATTCTCAAAAATATATATAGTTAGCCTAAGTCGGTGTTACACTTACCCAACTTTACAAGTAGCAATGATAGTGAAAATGACATGCAGTAGCATGTGTGATACAAATGATACAATAAGTAATAGTAAAGATAATACAAATACAAAAGTACATGTTAATATGGTATTAGATATTAAGATATATACTTAAGTAATTAGGTAAGTACATAATAACAATAAAAACAATATTTATTAATATCTATTAAACAAGTGAGGGTGCTTATTGCCAAGGCTCATCATCCTATCAATAGGTTGGTTTTGCGGTAATTAGTATTGTGTGAAGTGATGGCCAAGGGAGCGTACGACCTAGTTTGACGGGATGGAACTTTAAAACGAACTTGAGCGAGTAGGGTATGAGCATCAATATATCCATGAATTAATATGTGTACAAACAGTAAGTTAGCCTCAACTCTTCTATTGGCTAAAGACACGAGACCGAAATTGTAGTAAGACTGATTAATTTTCAGAATAAATGCTGATGAACTTAAAAATCTTCTCTGGATACGTTCTATAAGAGAAGAATCCATTTTCGTACAGGGGTTACATAGTACTAACTCTAGAAAGAAGGGATCTAACAAGAGAACATTAAATATACGCATGAGTGAAGCATACAATTTGAACTCTTTAGCTAAGTGTAGCATAAAACCAAGTGTATTTGGAGTTTTACAACACATTGCTGCAATATGTTGATGAAAGCTGAGCTTAGAGCCGAGTATGACACCTAAATCTTTTTTCGTGGTTTCATCGATTCAATGATTGAGTTATTTCTTAAGAATGAAATAGTGTAGCAATTATCAGTATTAAACTGCAATCTAATAGAATTGAACCAGGAAACCATGAAATTAAGCGCTCTTTGTAAAGAATGGCAGTCACTTAAAGTGTCAACAAGACCTAAGATCTTAAGGTCATCTGATAACATAAGGAGTTTGGTGTATAGTATCACCTTTTTTAGACCATGTATAAATAGTGAAAAAATGATAGTGGGCATATGGTCTCTTTACCGAACACCCGAGGGAATTTCGACAGCATTGGATGTATGCCCAAGCTTAAATGAACTTCAAGTAGTTCAAAAAAAAAGTTTTAATAACACTTATTTCGGAAACACGCCTAACTAAAACCTCTACACTCAAGATATTGGAATTCAATATTATGAAAGCTGACCATCCAGATGGTACAGCACACAGGTGCTGCACTCTTCATCTCAATAAAATTGATCATTAAACTCTTTCACCATAACTTGGTACAAATATTCAAGCAGCAAGCAAATCGATAAAAATAAACTCCTTAAATATCTCCATTCATCTTTCCATGATATTTTCCTCCAGGAAGACTTTTAGTTACCCTTAGCTTCACCCATATTATCTTCGCTGACATCAATGCTAAATACCAAACTTGGAGTCGTTCCACGTACATCCAGGGGGGTCGAGCCCTAGAAAATTCCATCAATCATCTCAAGATAATAGAGATAATAGTAGAGTCCTACTCTCCAACCTATTGGCCATCACAAATCAACCGTCATCCTGACACCCTTCACTTCTTTATCACCAATCTTCCATCAGTTTTCCACTGAAATTGTAAACCTAAATGACCCAGCTTCTAATCATACACCTGTATTGCTCTTAACCGGAGCCTAACTCTCTTCGAAGAACACAATTAGTAAAATTTCTGAGCAGTTGAAGAAGAATCATCTTCGTGGACCGTAGCCCGAAAGATGGGTTGTTCACTGATAACAAATTTTTGCACAAAAGTTTTTGCACGGGTGAGAGCCACTTTGACAACACCTAGCTTCCTTTCCTTTTTAACTCTATTAAAATGTTAAATTCCTCTTCGCTATGCATCGTATTGCCTGATATATGAATATATAAACACCGAACCAACAAATGAAAAATCGTCTATGAATATAGAAGATACAACAAAGAAAATGATTTAAGACTAAGGGAAGACACTAAAAATTCAAATCTGAATTATGGAATAAATAATAAATTGAAACATAAATAATAATACAGATGATAATATTAATAATCAGTTTGATTTTTGTCCACGCATGAAAAGTATAAGCTGACGATTTCAGATACTAATTGCAAAATAAAAATATATACACTAGATCAATTTCATACGACGGAAAATAATAAGAGTTCATTAATCCTGAAATGAATTAATAGAAATATATGTAATCTAATAAATTGAACATTGCAAAGGTCATAAAATGCACGAACAATAATAGGCCGCGATGCACAGTCACCAAATACTACGTAGCGCTGACACTCACACGCCGACCTGTGTGAATTGTGTGTATATATTAAGTATAGCTACTCTAAAGAAGTGGACTGGGTCGCAGAGGAAGACTAGAGAGTGCTAGTGTGCGATGGGCGTGTAAGTGTGTTTATGTGTGTGTGTTTGCTTGAAAACTAAAACAATGCCTTAGGTAAGTTTGAGTTGCTGTATAATAGAATACATTTGGAATAATACACAATATATAGAAAGAAGTCGCAGCAATATACAATTTAAGCCCCACAATAATAGATAAATGGCCCTTCTGGCCCAACAGGAAAAACTAAAAAGGTATAATATATAATGTATGATGTATAATAATAATATAAACGAAATATATAAAATAACTCACAATATGTAGTCGGTGCAAGGCTGGCCAGCTTGCTACCTGTGCCTAAAGCAAATAATTTTCGCACACACAAAATATAATAATAATAAAAATGGCGATTCGCGCCTACACAATATAATAAATAAACACACAATTAATTTTAAAATAATGTAATAAAATGATGTTTCATGACTTCATGTACTATAATATTTATTAATTATTATTATGGCTGTTTATTATTTTTGTCATTCGAACTCATTTATCTACATTTATATTTTGTATGTATATTATTTAGTTTTAGTAAAAAATGAATGTGTAATAATAATGTGCAGCCACCAGACGGTAGTATATTACAGTATAACACTATTACGAAAATTAATTTTTAATTTCTTATTTTTATTAATTAAATTTTTTTTGGGGATTGGGACGACCTCCGAGCTTAATTTTGATGGGAGGCTACTGGGAAAATCCTGATTTTCCTATGAGCCTATCCGTCCATGCATACCTATCATCTTTAACTGGTTGGTAGAAATAGATGTTGTTGATTTATTACAAATTCAAAAAGAATAATCAACTGGAAATATTAGGTACTCAGATATCAAGTTTTAAAATAATGTCAATTATATTATACGAAGGTATATTATTTTAGCATTAGTCAAATGAATCATTCATATTACATTTTTCACATTTGTTAACTGATGATTTATTTTCTGATAAGAATTACAAAAATAAACATTGCGTTATATTTGTCATGCTGTAGAGTGTAGGTATACTGTATACACTATACGTTTATATATTATTGTAAATTGTAATACTGTTGTTTTTAGCGTCGTTAACCGTGTTCTTGACTTCACGCTACGTTTTGTAATTTATTATTGTTATCTTATGGTTATGAATAAAAATATAACATTGCATGTCTAAAAGTAGTCTTGTACAATCCGATTTTTGATGAAACGATAATACTTATAAGTTATAATACTAGCGCTGATTATAAAATATAAATAATATTTGACAATGACACCAGGTACATCGTAATTTGTGAAAAATAACTTATCCGGGAGCAGGGCCCGCAGCACCCGTCAGATGTTATTGGATTTGGTGAGGGGGGGGGGCTGAGGGTGGTGCAAAATGTTATTTTGGTTGTACAAAATTGTACAAAATAAAATACATAATACTGCTTGATTGCAATTTATGATTTCGTAAGTACGGGTGCTGGGGTAACGCATCTGTTAGGTACCCCACTTAGTTATACTCACTATGACAGCGTAGGGCTGTCAGTTACTAGTTATATGTTCGTTTAATTTAAAGTTTACACTATTACGTTAAGGTATATTAGTAGGTATTCATTATAAAATATTGAAATTATGAAAATTATTTTTATTGAAGTATAATAAAAATGTGTATTACAATATTACTTTTAATGAAATTATGATGTATGGTGTTTGAAGCATAAACTGGAACCTGTGCTGCTTACTTTTTCGTAGTTGGCCTAACTCTAGGTTTGGTTCGGTGGAATTATCCATCCCCAGGACGGCTTCATTCGATTTCGTTGCATTTGTTATCTTTTCATTTCGGTCACATTAGAATTAAATCTTGTCACTATTGAATATCTGCATTTGGTATCGAAATATCTTCACTAAGTTCCGGCACCACGTCATCATTCTGAGTCGGTATTACTACACCAGCTCCCGACGCTTCTGTGATTGAATCTGATTTGGAAATTCTTTGATCCATAGCTTGTTCCTAAGTAATATTTTGATCAGGTTATTTTTATAGTTACGCACCTATATGGTTATACCATAGGCGTAACTAGACCTTAATTAGCGGGACTTCAGTCCTAGAATTATTATAATGAGTAAAATAAGAGTTGGACTCTTCTCCCAGCACCACCCAAATACGTTCTATTAATTGTTACTAAATATAAATTAAAATATTATTTTAGTTACAAATTCAAGATTTTAATTTTCTTATAATATAAGTGAAAGTTAAATAATTGATATGGGTAACATAGGTTATTATTATTGTTATTACAATGCATTAGTCATAACAGTTTAAGCCTCCATCCATGCATTGTCATTTTTTTTTCAAATTATTTAATGTTCCGTATTTCGAACATTTAATAAATCTCTTTCAATAGCTATAACAGGCAACTTAGAGAATCGATTTGGTAACATAAGTTAAATTTATATAGGTATTTATTCTTTGCATAGCTTAAACCATTTTCTGTTCTTTTGCTAAATGCGGAACTACTTGGAACAGGAAGTGATGAATGTAGATTTGTCTATAAATTTGAAAAATAGATTTTTGAACAATACTCTTTAGCCTCTTTAAATTTCCCCGATGATAGGTAAAGAATAATAAAATTGAATGATTAACAATTGATTATCTAACCAATATTTCTGATTTCAATTTGGTTTAATTTATTTTATATTTTTTAAAGCCTGAAAACATGTAAAAACAAAAGCGGGTAAGTGGATGTCGCTCTGCTGTATAGTAGGTTACAAGTGAGTCACTGTAATAGATGGTGTTAAATTTGAATTCGCTGTCTCACTGATATAAAGTAGTTGTATACCAAACACGATTCTGAGCGAAGATGGTCTGTCAGTCTATAATATTACTTAGTAATTTTGATTAATTTAGTAAATTGTATGATATTGTGATTAGGGTAATTTATTTTACTAGTAAGTTCTTCCTTGCTTACCAAATGTTAAAAGTTTTTTTCTAATCTAACCGCGTTTGGCGATCATTGCAGACGTAAATAACAAAAAAAGAGTATACCATAGTAAGTTAAATTCATTTTTGCCAAAAAAAAAACATTTAAAAAGTCATTGTGTGTTGAGCAACAAAATAACTAAAAAAATTATTATTATTGGTTATTTAATTATATGTAATTACGTCCAAATTTAAACATAAAATAACTATAAAAAAAAACTGTGTTCATACAGTTTTTAGAGTTTTTGGTTACAGAATAATACCTACTTGCATGAAACATTTTTCAAATTGTCAATCCTTAGCTATAAAAGTTGAACATTTTAAAAATTTTAAACCTTAAAATTATTTATAAATTTTGAATAATTTGAATTTTGTCAAAATTTTAAATTTACATACTTAAAAAAACCGTATTTTGAATATTTTCAACTGATATTGTAAATATTTATTAGAAGGCTTGTACTAAATTTTCAAACTTTTTGACCCAAAAAATAAGATTTTATTGACAGTTATAGAAAAGAAACTAAAAAAATTGAAAATTAAAAATGTCCGCCAACAGTTCAAAAAGAGTTTAAATATTTTTAAAATTGTATCAAGTAAAAATGTGAAAATCCAATGTTGTAAAAATTTAATTTGACTTTCCAGTAGACATTTTTTTTTGATAAATTTAGACAAACGTATAAAGAATCTTACATTACATTTTAATGTCTTAGATAAAAAACTTAAAATAATTTGAACATTTTGGTGATTTTTACGAATTCTATCAAAATTCTAAATTCAAACGCTCATAAAAAAATATTGTTTACTTACTCTGATTTATTTTTAATTTCCACTAACAACCATTTATGAGGAACCTTGTATTACATTTTCAAGTTTTTTGATCGAGCGAAAATTTTATTATCGATATTACTTTAAAAGAAACAAATTTTAATCGAAATGTCATATGCCTATAAATAGTTTAACACGTATACAAATATTTTGAAAATGTTATGATGTATACAAAACTCAAATTGAACATTCAGTGAAAATTTCATATACCCATTACCCATACTATATATTTTTAGAGTTATATTAAAAACCAAAATCGATTTTGTCTAAAATTGGGTTTCCGTATAAATTCCTGTTTTTCCTTAATTTCTTGTTTGTTTTTCTTGGGGCTATTGAAAACTATTGGGAATTTTTTCTATTGAACCCCTTAAAGTACCAACTAGATTCCCTTTCCTACCAGATAAGATGCTGTTGAAGAAAATTTAAGTATTTTATTGTAACAAAACGTGATGACAGACACACAAAAAATAAAAATAAAAAGATCGTGAAGACTATTTTTGTGTTTAGATACTTTATTGACAACTACACATACAAATGATATTATGCATAATACATATAGTTTGGATAAAAAAAATAAAACGATATTTTAAATTAAAATGTATTAATGTAGCTACCGTTGTTGGTGGGAGTATAGGAATTATGAGAGGAGGCAGTGGAGTATACACGAATTATTTTCACTATGGGCCAATTTATCAATTATCACTAGTCAAGCAGCATAGCCATGATTATACATTTTTAAGGGAGCAGCTGCGTGGTTATATAATTAATAATTATGACATATTAATATATTATACAGTATAAATAAAAATTGCGCAATTCAATTTTATAATTATTATGTTAAATTAATATACATGCAATGCTTTAATTGAACCTGAAATTTCACTATGGGCTCTGGCCTAGGGGGGCTTCCCCTATATACGCCACTGAGAGGAGGGCTAAAATAAAAGTTAAGAGGCTTAGTCCCGCACCACCACCCCTAGCTATGCCAAGAAGCTATACCTATTTTCTACTGGCATAACCAGGATTAATTAATTTTTTTATGTTGGTGGGGAGGGTATTTTCTATGAAATGTATCCATTTCTGTTAGTGTTACACCAAAGATATTTAATATATTATATTATTTTTATACAACATTATTATAACCATACTAAACAATCATAGATATTGTCTATTACTTTATACCTTATACATGTCAAGTGTTGTTATAGTATCGTAAAAAACTGTAACCATACATTTGCAGACTAACTAGACAATCATTTTCCTACACATTGTAATGTACAAAACCCCAAGTGTCCAAGTCATGTACACAATGGACAATGTCTCAATGGACAATATATAGGCATCCAAATCTAATTATTATTCTAATTGTAATTTTTAATACAATTATACTTGTATTATATTATTAGTAGATACAATATATCAAATTATATGGCTTATGGGTGTACAACGGTGTACCTGCAGGATGTCAAAAATTAAGTTGGAGTTTGGCCTCGTCATGAACAACTTATATTGTTCTTTCTCTGTCTTTTGTGATTCATCTCTTTTATTTTCAGCTTTTCCATTTATGTCTCTTGGTGCGACGATTTCACTTTCAGAATGTTCGAGAACTGGATTGCTAAGGTGCAAATCATTACGTCTACGAATCTCCTCCATTTTTATATATTGTTTGTGACACTTCCGGTGACAAGTTTCAGAACAGTCTATGCACGTATAGACTGATTTTAAGAAATTAGTTTTTTCGCAATAAAAACATCTTTTGAAACGGAAAAAGAAAAAAGAAAAGGGGGTTTTCAAATCATGGGTTAGATCCATATTTTTGGTATTTTATGAATATGCCGTATAATAAAATTAATAAATTTAGAAAAATTTAATCATCGTTCATGATAATCTAAAAACTAATTTAATAGCTGAATAACAGAGGTTGCTAAGTTTCACTTAAATAATGTAATGGATTTTTTTTTATTTCAGCTTCATAATATTTTATATGCTTTATATACATATATATTTTTTATATATATTTATATTTTATATTTTATATGTAAAAATAGTCGGTGATAATGATAAATAAACTTACTGGTAAATAGATTCAAATATGTAATTTCTTCCGAATTTGATCTTAAAATGTCTATAAAAAAGAACTGTGTTATATTATATATTTTTTATATTTGAGGATCCTTGTTTTAAATCTTCAATCTTATATAATATATTGATTAAAAAATAATTTTTCAAATTTTCAAGATTTTTATAAATGTTGTCAACATTGAACTTTTAAACTCTTAAGTTGAAATGCTTATGAAAAAAATCGTGCCTATGGATGTTTAATATTAATTTTCAACTGCTATTATAACAACTTACTTACTTTCGAGGAACTTTTTATTAAATGTTCAAGAATTTCAAAAAATCTTATCAATTTTTTACTTTTTATTTGCATCTAACAAAAAAACATTTAATGAGCGATTACCTATTTTAATATCTAGTTTGTATTGTGATAAGTGATAAAGATGGTTGCAAGTTTCTACCTGCAAATTATGATATAAAATACCAAATGGCAAATGACATCAACTCTTTAAGTCAGTTTTCATCTAAAGTTGTAATTAGTTGTCGAATTTATTTACGTTGATGTATTTAAATGCGCCATACCGATAAGATATTGTGAAAATCCGAAAATGGACTCGCACATCACTGTACCGAAATGGCCTACTCAAGACGCCGTGTTATAAATTATAACTCATTCGTATTTTGTAAATAGTTATTATTAAAATACCACAACAAAATAACTAACAAAATTCTACATATTATTTTTATCTCTATAAAATGGGAAATTATTAGAAAAATGTATTATATTATTAGTTTTTACCTATATTTCAAGACTTATTTTTACCAGGTATTTTATAAGTATAAAAATACATGACCTTCTTATTTTAACCAACGTGAGTCAGTATAAACAGTTTTTTTGTAATAAATTACCGTTTTTAATAGGTAAAAAATATATTATGTTTATTAAAATATACAGTTGGTTTTCAGTTTTGTAATAACATGATGTTGTATACTACGCAAAGTTAATTTTATAAAACTTATTACCTATTTCAATACCAATTGAAAAAATAAATAATTGGTTGCTACTAAATCGATAGGTAGTTATGTTCCAATGACCTTTGTTATTTTTATACATTTTGCCTCACAATTATTATAATACATTTTGGTTGTTCGAACATGGCTTGAATTACCACCGAATCGATAATTCTCCAAAAGCCGTCCAAGTCTCGCATTCGGCGTGGAATGTTCGCTACGAGTCCTTTTCCTTCACTGGCGTCCTCGCCAGTCTTGGAAATTTTTCGTCTCCGTGCGTTGGTTTTTTGTCAACATTTAAATCTGGTGGATTACGTTCAACCTGTTCACTTAGTGTTATTGGGAAGTGCCCTGGCGCTTATAAGTATAATTGTTATAGTATCTATCGAGTAACATACTTCACATTGTATCCAATCAGGTCGGATGTAATATTTGTATTACCTACAAAGTTTTTTTTAATGATTTTTTCTGACTATACAAACTTATCCTCACTCGTGAGTCGTGAATTATTATTTGTCTACGCAGTCTACTGTCTACTACTGTACCATTTACATTTTTTTGTAAAAAACTCACTTTTTCCTTAATTTTAGATTCTGAGCGGATCAATAGGTTTTTAAAAAAATGTTTTATTTGTGTCTGTTATCAGTTATATATATGGGATAGTAAAAATGATTTGATTTTCTATGATTTTCTGAAAAACATTAATATTTATGTAGTCCAATATTGACACATGCATGTATGTAAGGGAGAACTATTTTGTCAAAAACTGGTTTTGAGTAAAATATCCCATTTTTCCTTAATTTATTTTGTTTTTTTTCGGGACTTTTGAAAACTATTGGGAATTTTTCGAACTCCTTAAAGTACTAACTAGATTCACTTTCCTTCCAGAAAAGCTATTGTAGTTGATAATCTAAGCATTAAACATTTATATTGCGCAAAAAAGTGATTACAAATACAAAAAAAAAAAAATAAATAAACCACCATTTTTGAAAAATCCATACATATTCATCTCTCCACACAGTCACACAGGATCTAAAATGTATCAAGATGGAGCTGCAAACATATAAAATATATGTACCTTCTATTTATAACAATAATACAAGTAGGTACAGAAAATTATAGACACCTTCAGGCTTCAGTATTCTTAGTAGTATTGTGGTAATTAGAAATGGTTTTTATTATTATTTATCATTTTTATTGTATATGTAATTTAGGCTTATTTTCTTAAATCTTATCATTTAGACTTAATTTGTATTATTTCTTTTCAGTATTTTAATTAATTGTATATCATTTTGTACTAATATTATTATTAATTATTTTATATTCAGAACTACAGACCATAATTTATTTATATCTAATATAATTATAGATACAACAAATATTCTTAATTTGAAAAATGTTCATAACTAAAGCATTTGTATGTGTACCATTACAGTAGGTGGGTATATTGAATAACAAAAATAATCAATTTTCCTGAGGGACAATATGTTTCAGAGAAGACTGTTAGGCTACAAATTATACTTTATAGTTAAACTTTTTTATGATCAGGTTTAAATGTTACATAAATAGTTAAGTGCTACTCTCTTAAGTTCCTTCAAACGCAATCATATCACTTATTAGCTACATGGAATATTATGATTAGATATGACAGATAATATTCAGATTTTACTGAGATTAGTTACTTAAATGCTTAAGACAAAACAAATCATGTACTACTATCTAGACATTCTATGATATAATTAAATTTGATGTACAAAATCAATTTTCTTACCTACTTGTACAGTTAAGAGTATTTAAATACATGCCAAATATTTGTATTAGCTCTTTAAACTTCTTAAGACTATTTGAAATGTTTTTAAGATACTTAAATCTAAATAGATGTATTTTAATTTGTAGGTATTTAATCACATTTAAAAAACTATATTTTACAGAAATATAATGCAAAATAGTAAGTAAATTCTTTGGAATTATAATTTTAACTAATTGCATTTTTTTTTAAGTTGACATTAAGTATTGTAAATTTGGACTATTTTTGAAGTTAGAAAAAAATATATATAAAAGTAATTGTTGAATTAGTATTATTAGCTAAAAGGGATTCAATACCAATAGGTATACAAGAGTTTAATACAATTCATTTTTTTTATAAGTACATGTTGTGTACATATTCATGTGCATACTGTATTAAGTGATCATTAATGTGTGTAAATGTGATTAGTAAGTAATATATAAGCTCCCTCACATGCATGCATGTGTCAATATTGCACTACACGAATATTAATGTTTCTTTTCTAAGTCAGGGCCGGCGCAAGAAGTATTGGAGCCCTTAACAAGCCCCCCCCCCCTCTCACATAGTTTGAGTAGTAGTAAAATTAAGTTTTTTAATAATATCTAAGTTAAATAAAATTAGTATGTATCATAACTTTAAGAACAATAAATTCGAAAACAATAAATAATTGTGTGTGTCAGACAATTGTGTCTTTTTGATTTACGCAAGACTGCGTTATTTTCGCCGTAAGGTCCGAATGAGTTTTACCGCTGCAGTTTTTCTAACAAATCTAGATGTAATCATCTAGTTTTATGAATTTATTTATAAATCGCTGAATATAATATGAAAATAATTATTACGACCATCTATATATTTTATTGACCCACACAAATGCGGTGGTATGCTTCCATGATCCATAGTTCCATGCATTATTTTTACATCAAAACCATAGGTATCGAATATCGATACACTGTTTTATTCTTATACATTATACAAATATGGAATAATTGCAGATGCACCTTCAATTAAAACGACATTAGATAATTAATATTTCAAATTGTACAGATTGTTAATGCCTATTAAAAGATAATTTATATAAAAATAATTTACAGTTTGGCGCCCCTTCCGTGCTGGCGCCCTGGGCAGTCGCCCAGAGCTTTCGCCGGCCCTGCTAAAAGTATCAATATTTTTTAAATTATTGTATTTGCTTATCTATTAAATTAATAAAATGTCTGAAAATAACATAATTGAATTTATCAAGTTTACTTTATAATGGGCTTCCTTACATTTTTTTACTGATTATTTCAAATTGAATGTTAATACATTTTTAAAGTAGAAAAGTGTTTTCAATTAAACTTCTTGATGAATTAAAATATGTTTTCAGAAAAAGTATCCAACTACTAGGACATTTGATAAAATAAGCACAAGATAGGCTTACTTTGGTAGAAAACCCATCTGTGATCAAACCTCTTTAAGTTGAAAAAAAGGAAAATGGATTTATATGCACTAAAAACCAACTAAATATGCATTAAAAATGCGTAAATATGTACTAAGAATTTCAAATATGTAAAATAATATATTTTTCAAATATGTTAGGAACATGAATTATATTTTTAACGCCGAGATGGTCCACCACTACGTCCACGACCTCCACCACCGCGAGGTCCTCCACGACCTCCTCGTCCTCTTGGACCTCCACGTCCACGACCTCCTCTTCCAGGTGCTAAAACAACAAGACATTAAATAAATAATCTTACATATACTTCAAAATTTTATTTTAAAACCTATGAAGTGAGTAATTGAAAATATTAGATGTTATTTATTATTAAATAAACATTTTTTCATGTAGTTATATAAATGGCTATTATTGCCCCCTTTTATTAATAGAAAAACATAATATCACAAACCTCCACGAGTTCCTCGCCCATTACGATTTACCCTTGATTTAGGTGCATCGTCAACTAGCAGTGTTTCAAGGGTTAGTGAATCTGGTAAAATGAAGTACCGTATATTGTTACCACGGACGCTAAGTGTTTCGTAATGTATTGGCTGATTATTTTTCATGGTCATTTTAACAGTTTTCAAGTGAGTGTTCATCGCTACATCAACTCCTAAAATATACAATAGTTAAATAGTTTTTGAGAAACATTAAGGTTATATGGTTGTTATTTTGTTTCAAACTAATTATTCTTATAAAGTGTAAAAACTATATTACCATGTTATTCAGTTAATAAATATATCATAAATTATTTAATAAATTAATAATAATAGTATATAATAATTTCGTGAATTATGTTTTTTATAACTCTATTTCAATAAGGTAGACACTAGTTATGCATAGTGTGAAATGTGAATGGCATCAGGTTGTAGGCCTCTAGTGGCGTTAGTAAGAGCTTTTTAACTGTTAGAAAAATCATTCTTTAAGGTATATTTTCAATTCATAATATTTCTATACCAAAAATTTACATGTTTAGATTTAATTTTTAGATGTTAATTAAAAAATAATTCAATTTTTGAAATTTTTTATCATAAGACTTGTAACTGAAGTTTCCTTTCTAGTAGCTAGGATGTTGTTTTTTTTTCTTATTATTAAAATAAAACATTTATAATACATATTTTATCGTATTACTTATACTATTTAAGTATGACATTGTGTCTAAAAATGACTAAAATTAATTTCCACAGAACACCTTATTTATTGGTTAAGATTTATTATATTATACTCATACTTTGTCATACATATTAATTATGAATAGTAATACTTAAATCAGCTAATCAGAAAATGGATGCTCAGCAATCTATGTATTTTTGGTTGCCATCTGGTGAATTCTCTTTTGGCATAGACAAAAATTCATAAAAGTTCAAATTTTTTCTAACTATAGCAATTAAATAAAATGTAAAATAAAATTTCTTGAATTTTTTTAATATTTATTGTTTACCTGTAATGGTCCCATGAACACTAGTTCCATTTTTCAGTTCTAATGTCACCGTTTCATGACTTAGTTTCATCAAAAACCTGTTGATATAGATAAAAGAAAAATAATTATTAATACAATTTTTGGCATTTATAAAATATATACAGGGTGGTTTTTAAAGCATGCTCAACCCATTTTTCCCTTTAACAGTACATTTATTCAAATGAGAACCCCATTGTTAACTGAAAATTATTTATTTAAACATTTTAATGTACCTAAATCAAAAAATTGTAATGAGTAGTTTCTAAATTATTAAAATGTTTATACTTAGGATAACAATCCTCAAAAATGCTTTTACAAAAATAAAATCTATATACAATGTTAGGTGCAGTATTTATTGTACTTGGATCATTTTTACAATTTATTTATATTGATAAGTCAATAGTAATAGCTAACTTTTTCAAATCTTCTAAGGGCCCTATCTACGTAACCCATTACCATAGACCTAGTCCTTAAAACAAAAAATTACATAACTAAAAAACTTCTAGAATACTTAATAAATTACCATGTATGGTATATACATATGAATCTAACTTTTATTTTTATTTATTTTATGTACATTGGAATTTTTAAACTATACAGTCTCCTGTATAGCAGTTTGCAAAAAAATGTTATATTCATACATTTGATCTATTATAATCTACAAAAAAATCTGTTCTTCACATCCCTGAATGTCACCTTGCTATAGAGTATAGAAGAACCAGTATCAATGGCAGAGTGCCGTGTGGGGATACACAAATTTGTTGTGTTGTTGTGTTGTCTTGCTGAACAGAGTATAGACTACTACACTCTTTTGGAATGAGATCTTACTTTGGCGGTGACCAGTTTTCATCTGCATTCGTTAGACGCTTCTCCCACCTAGAAAGCTTGTGAGACTATCACTGTGGAATGAAGCCACGCCCATGCACAGAAGTCGGCCGCCGAGGTACGATCTCATTACAAATAGAGTATATAACCGAAATAGCCAACCATTGTTAAAATTTTAATTAAGTTATTAAACCTTCTAATATTTAAGAATCTACCACACTATTTCACCATAAATAACTATAAATGAATAACTAAACAAGTTAAATAACATTAAAAAATAACCAAATATTAGTAATTAGTATACAAACAATATTTATGTTTTAGACATTGTTGTTTACTGATTATCCACTTTATAGTTGGGAAAAGTACATTTTAAATACCTAGTATTTTGAATAGTTGAATTAACAGAAATGTATTATTATGGACTGCATTATGGATAAAAAATACATTTATTTTTAATTTGTAAGAGCATATTTTCTCATTTTAATAATGTGTACATAAAATAAATAGGGAAAATCAAACCCAGCCACTCATTTAGATATTTATAATTGTGCCAAATTTTATATTTCTCAACGCCAAGGTTTAAGCAAATGTATAAAGGCAACGGAAATTTTTTTTCAAAGATTATAGCTTTTCACTTAGGCTTACCTTTCCAGTTTGTTTGTTCACAAATCACTAAGAACTATGATTAAGTAATAAACAATGTGAAAATACTTAACATAACACTTAATTAGCTGAGTATAGCATAAACAACAACTAGTTAGTTTTAACGTGCCTGATAGAGAAAAATAAAATGATAAGTAATATCCTATTCAAAACTATTTTACTTACTTGACCAACTTCATGATGCTTTATCTCAGGACTATCGTAGACTAAAATGAATATTAATTACGATGTACTTTGTCGAATCAAACTAAAATTAGTCACTAGTCACAAAAATGGTACAGACGAACGGACTTCGTCCTCTCCGCTGATGTCTACCTGACTAAATTGCTGTAGCAAATAAATGTAATCTGTTTGGTATGTAGCCGTCAATCGTATTCAGAAATTAGAAGCGTTATGAATGTGGAAACCAAAAGGCAAAAATTGATATACGAACACGGACGTACGATAATACGATATGATGTTATCAACGAAACCGTGACCGACAGGGAAAGGCAATCAATATAGAACTGTGGTATCAGCACAGAATATATAATAAATAAAATAAAATAAATAAAAATAAATAAAATACTCTGTGGTATCAGTTTTAAATGTTTTAATCACTCTATTATCAGTTTGTAATCAAAACTCGAATCGCGTTTCGCATTTTATCTCAGCCCGGCCCCGTGAAGAAATAGCAAGTTTCATTGTTGCTTCGATTAAAAACTCTTCACGTTTTAAATACATTTTATAACTAACAAAATGTTCAAAATACCAGTGTCGGGCATTCTATTGGGCACGAGCAAAGTGTCCCTGAAGTTCTTCGTGCCCAGCATCGGTTTGCATGCATCGGCGCCAATGAAACTAAAGGAAAGTAAGTAGTACAACTGCGTTTTGTGCTACGCACCATTGATGTTAGTGTATTTAATGTGCTGTTCTTGTTGAAACGTCTAGTCCACACGAACAAGGTTGGTGGCAAGTTGATTATTGAAGGAGCTTTCGTGCCATCTCCTAGAAAAGACCACCTCATTCCGAATAACAGCGAATGCTGTTCGTTGTGCAATCTCGGCTTGAACGTCAAACACACGGTATACTATTGTATGAATGATGTGTTCAAGTCAATTTCAACTCATTATTTTGTTGTAGGATGTATTGATTCTTAGTCAATTTGTACGACCTGACGGTTGTATGATGCCTCAACGAATTACTGGCCTCTGTAAAACCCAGCAGAAAAGAATGTCTAAATTGGTGTCTATGGCGCATAAAGCAGGTAATTTCTGTCTAGTTATGTTGATGAATACTTCTCAATTATTTTTATATACTAAACCAAGTATAGATAGTACTACTTGCATGTAATTAAAGTTGGTAGTAATTATTTGAATCATAGCCTGAGAAATTTAAGCTAGAAAATTATATAAATGTTTTAAATGCAGGTTACTAAAATCTTGATTCAATAAATATTAAAATTTTATATTAAATACTATACTATTTATTTTTATTGACCTAAACAAGTACCATTTCTGCTTATTATTTTTTTTCTTCCTAATATTAAGTCTTGCCTAGTGTTTGATAAGTTCATTTCAAAACGGAATTTATATTTTTTATGTTTTAAAAGGAACTCATTCATATTTAAATCAACTAAAAAATATACCTGTTCATTTAATTATGTATTTAAAATTTAGAAAAATAATTTCTATTTTTAGTTCTTTTCAAATAGAAATTAGACACATAAAAACAAAAAAGTAAATGTTCTAAATAATTCAAGCAAAAATGGTTAACATTTCAAAATTGAACTTAGCCCTTTTTTGAAGTTTTAGTTATTAAGTGCATTTCCATTTAGAATCTAAGTATCAGTGGGGTATAATGTGTAATTATGTAATATATGAATATATGCAGTCTTAGTGAAAAACTTGGAGGTAACTGGCATTTGCATTACAACCTACATGTTTCTCAGCATAATTTCTTTATTATTAGATTTATTTATAACTACTATAGAAATTGTCTTAAGGTGGGTACTATTCAGTGTACTTGTCTAATATGCTACCTACCATAAAATGGTATCTACCAAAAACTGTATGCGTGTAGTATGCTACCTACCGTAGTTATTTTTATTTTATTTCATTTTATTACAGGAGAGTACATTTGAGTCATTAAGATAAATAACATATTATAGCAGTTGTACAAAATTATATCTTAATAGCCATTATGATATCTGATCCACCAAGACCCATGATAACTTACTGTTAGATAATATGGTCCATTAATACATAAAACGATTTATTAGAAGTTTTCTGGAATGATGTAAGAATAGTATATAATGTATAATATTTTATAATGACGTATTGAAATATTATAAAGTACTTGACAGCGGTAAATTAATAAATTATTTAGTAATAATTATAGTAGTAATTATTTATTAATATTGTTGTTAATTTGTTAATAATCAGTAAACAATTTTGGTAGGTATTATTTTACGGTAGGTAGCATACTACACCACCGAAGTAGCAGTAGGTAGCACATTAGACGAGTATCCTATTCAGGTGTTATACTTATAAATCTGAGCGCTGGAATTTTGTATGATGTACTATTTTAGCTGAGGTCTTTTGAGGAATATAGGTCGATCCTATTAAAATTAAAAATTAGTAATATAAATATCGGCTGATCACGTGATTTATCTTAAACACACTTGGTATTAGTTAAGTATGTGATCTACTGATGAAAAGTCGATTTTAGTATGTAACCTATCTGTATTAACAGGTTTAGTATGTGACCTACCAAGACGATTATCTATATTTTAAGTATAGACAACCTATGCTTGCGTATCTTTATGATTGTATTATATAAATATTATATTCACTGGTTTTTACCAATAGATATTTTGTCATTCTAACATTATAAATTGATAATACTGTCAGTACGTGTTCTGTCGTTAATCCGAAATATACAATTTTTTTAAAATTTACAAGTGACGTACAAAATTTTTATTGCCAAACATAATTTATGATAAAATAATTTTATGCTTTTTTGTTTATAATTTTTTTTTTTACTGATATTTTATTGACTAATTTGAAATGTAATCTGTAATAATAAAATAACCTAATTCGACTGTTTTTAAATTAATTATCGGTTCGGTAGGTCACGCATACTACATGAATACCACACTTTTAGGCTTTACTGAAAAAAATCATTGAATTTTCTGATAAGAAAATAATAAAAGAAGAATATTATTGTACAATTTGTTATTATATTGCATCTAACAATAAAAAAGAAAAACTTAAATAAATAGTGGTTGATCACCAATTATTAAATTTTTTTTATTTTTTTTATAGATTAATTCACTTTATGTATACAAATTTAAAATTAATTTAGTTTGAACTATCTTAAAAGGTTCAAGTTCTCATAACACTATATTTATGAGAAATGAGTGACATTCACTAAATATGAATGTAAACGCATTATTTTCAAACACTGCTACTAGTTAAATCCAGGAAATAACTTAATTAAATTTAGTTCTAATATAATATGTATTATAGTCTGTTTTAAACTATATATGCGATAACTGAAATGAACTTATATTGTTAAATATTGTAATTATTTTTAGTCTGACAATAATATGCCTAATGTTTAAATATTATTCAAAATGTTTGTAGGTTTAATGTGTAATTTAGCTCCAGCAAATAGCAAAAAGGATACAACTAAAAGAAAGTTATGGAAAAAATACAATACATACTTTGATGAATCCACTATTAAAGTGTACGAGAGTCATTTCAAAACAATCAAGGAAAACATTATACTTGACTACATGAAATCAAGAAATTCAGAAAATTAATAAATTGGTAATAATCAACAATATTGAAACTAAAGAGTAGGTATTCTGTACTTTTTTTCTTGTTAAAACAAAATATTTGTAATATATATGAAACTATTTAACTAAGATATTGTGTTGAAAATGACTAAAATGCCCTTATTTACTGGTTGAAATGTGTTATAACATTGTTCTCATACTTAGTGATTCATATTTATATAGTTATAGTTAAAATTATCTTCTTCTTTAAGCCATGGTACATTAATGATGTATAACTCATGCAACTTAAAATGTATTTATTATTATTGTTAAATCAAACTGAGAATACTGACATGTCTGTTTGAGCTTTCATAAATTGAGATGTTTTTAATTTAATCAGAGGAATGAATGTAACCGGGTTGTATTTATAATTTTCAATTGTCAGTAGTAGTCTTAATCATAATTTTATTAAAATAATTGTATGACATTTAATTTTAAAGTATTAGTGTAAGTTTTTACTTATACTCAATCAATTGCAAATACTTTAAACCATGTTATGCGTAATATATTAAATTTGTTTCAATGTCCTTTATAATAATCGTTAATAATGAAATTGATTTTTTATCATAGAAATTATGAAAATTGGGCTAATTATTAAAAAAGTTATAGCCATAAAATTATCTTATTGGACATTATTACATTAAACTTCAAGCTGGCGGTCTATTATCTGAAACAAGAGTAGTTGCGCATTGTTTTTTTTACAAAAGGCCTAATATATTATGTCTGATTTCTGATAATCATTCACATATCAAATATTAATATATTTACTGTATTTCAAACTTAAATTTATTTAATTAATTAGGCATAGTCATAAAATAACATCTATAGACACATCTATCTATTCACATTTTTTGTTGTTTTACATTTAAATGTATAATATTGTTTTTTTAGTTTAAGACATGAATAACAACATTTTTGGGAATACCAATGACCATGTATAAGATAAAAATAGAATAATAAGCTAAATAATAAATAAATAAAAAATTTTGTATATTAATATTAAACACATAATATATTTTCATATTTGTATAAAGTATAGTGAAGAAGAGGAGAAAAACTAACACAAATAGTATTCAGGAGACAAAAGTATAATTTTGCGCCCTCACTAATAATAAAACTTCAACATTTATTTTTGGATATATTTAACCCTTCCAGTGATCCAAACGTACTATTACATTTCTGTATTTCATAATATTATCATTTTCCAGTAATAGTACAATTTTAGGAAACCCTGGCTCTCATTGTATTAAACTTACAAAATTAGATAATATAGATCTCAAAATTCAAATTAAAAAAAAAAATGTATTTTTTGTTGCTAACACAGATTGCAAAGCATAAGTAGTGTAGCAGTGATAAATTTAACAATTGTTCGCATTAAAAGAATGTGCGCAAATAATATTATTACATCCATTTCTTGTTTATTATTATTATATTATTTAGTATTATAAAATCATTGAGAAATCCTACTAGTGTCCATTCTCCTGTATTCTAATCCCATTTACAGATTTATAGAACAGTGTGTGTACAATATTGTAGTTTTTTTTATATTATTAAACTCTAAAAAGCTTGTCAACATTATCATTTACGTATATCTAATTAAATTTAATTCCAAGTCAAGATATAAGACTATGGCTTTTACTAATAATTTTCAGATTAATTAATTTAAGTTTATTTTATTTATAACATAGACTTCGCAAGTTCTAATTTTTTTTAGTATCAAAAAATGACTTATTTATTTTGTGCTTGAATATACTGTTAGGGTTTGCCATATACCCAATATATACTAGTTACTAGTTATATCCTCTCAAAAAAAAATGAAGCATGAAAAATGGAGATTGCTCTCTTTCTCCATTTTTTATGGAATAAAAGCAAGGGAGAGACAACGTAAAAGTATTTTTTTGGACTGTGCCAGATTCATGGGTCCAAATGTGTAACCACACTGCCTACATTATATATATATAGCAACAATAAGAATTATGTAAGCAAATTTCAAATTGAAATATCAAACACATTTTTATGGAGTAAAGTACAAAAAAGTCTGTTAAGGGCAGCCAACAAATGTGTTTACTCTTTGGTAGATCATATTAATTAAGTCAATTACAGTTTACAGACCACTGTTATGGTTTAAAGTATTACAAAAAAGTACAATGATAAATTACAACACTTTTTAAAGATCGACTACCCTAATATATTGTTAATACACCTGTAATATACATGACATTATTACACTACTACTGATTTAGGACTCATATCTTAAAAATAAACACAATACACCAGTTATTGTGCTTCTGAAGAAAATATTGACACTAATTGAACAGTATCACACACATTTATTTTTTTTATTACAATAGTCAATAATAACATTTATTTTGTAGTTTGATTTTTAACCCTTAAATGGTAGTGTATTATTGATTACGAGCTAAGAAAAAAGAAATAAAATAAAGCCTTGCAGGTTAAATAAGGCAGTTAATATGTTCATGAGATTCGATTCGATTACATTGTTCATTACAATTCTGCTATCCGTCACATCCAAATTGCAGTGGTTGGGACTCTAAAACAATGTCGATGCGTAGTGTCTCCTAACCATTGGTCATATAATTTGGCATTGGTTATTGTGATGTATTGATATCTACTAGGTAGGTAATAATAATAATAAAATGCTAATAATAATAATGATAATAATAGTAGTAGTAGTATGATAATAATTATAATAGCTATAGCAATATAATAAGAATAAAATAATTATAGTAATATTCCTTAAGTCTATTGATATTGATATTTCAATAATAATAATATTGACTTGAATTATTAAGCATTACTTCAAATGTTCCAAATGATTTTAATAGTAGTATTACATTATAAAAATTGTTTTCATAAAAAAAAGTCTTGGTAGTTAAACTTATAAAATCACAATTAAATAAAAATCACACATAAATAGTAGTAAGATAATTAGGTACAATAATTAGAATAATAAAACGTGTAGTCTTTGGTTACAATAATAAAAACATTGGATATAAGGGTTTACAATAATTACGAGGGTTCAATGGTTTCTTTATATATTTACGAATAATATATAAATCAGTTTATAAAATAAATGGAAATTCCTATTAGATAATAATATTTAACCACTGCATTTTATGTAAGGTTGGTCTGTTTTTATTTAATTTAAAAGTTAGGTTTAAGAAAACTGAAACAAAAAAAATACATATTTTTTATTAAATTAATTGTAAATGTACTGATTTGTAGTATCTACTACATATAACAATTCGTAAGGTTAATTTCTTTTAACTTGCTTTTGGTTTTTTCAAAAAATTATTTAGTAAACAAATATTAAAGCAGTATTTTATTAAGTCTGCAAGTAGAGTATATAATATTATTGTTTGGTAAAAGAGCATTTGATCACGGCATGCTTAAGATGTATACAAAATAATTTAATAATTCAAAATTAATTACATTTTCAGAGTAAATTATACAAGCTCAGTTTTATTAGGTAAAACATGATTATAAAAATGAATACATTTTCTCTTCAAGTGTATTGTATACATGGACTAGTTTAATAGTGAAATTCATTGATCAAAGGCACAACGGTTCTAAACATTGATTCATTGATGTATCCATTTTATTACGGTAAATATATATTTAACATGAACACAAGTTTGAATTCCTTGTTTTATCTTCTTAAGACCTTACTAAAAACTTTTGATCAAATTTGGACATTCAACCTATCAATATATGACATTAAATTTAAAAATGTACAAAATGTACAAAATTTTTTACCTAAAGAGGAGTTTTGCACATTAAACAGCTTCTTCAGTTAATTAAATGGAAAAAATTATTCGTAGGATCCAAATAAACATATAAATGTCCAAATCTGTTTTTTTATCTAAAAATCAAATCATTGGAGGGGATTGGTATGATGAAATGAAAATTGAGCAGTGAAATAATATGGGACACATCAAGTTGTAAACATGTGTTTTTGTGAAGAACAAATCCCCTTCTTACAGCCACACATTTACTGACACCAGTCAGTACATAAGTAATAACTAATAAGTAATGATCTTTCACTACGCAGTATTTACACAGTACTATGATCCACATTCAGGAATTTTATAGTTGCCTGTACAAAATTGTTTATAAAAGGTTTATATGAGTTTCAAATCATATTTTATGATAAAAATTAAAAAGTAGAATCTAATTTTATAAAATTAAAATAACTAAAAAGAGCTAACTAAATCAATACATGCAATATCAATTACAATTTGATTAATGGAATTTAAGTAAATAATTTATATTTTTATTGTTAAAACAATTATTTACAAGTTACAACGAGCTATTGTATTATTTATTAAGTACCTTGCTATAAATAATACAGCTTATACTCTTTATTTAGTGTGTGTGTATGTGGTATTGCAAACTAGGGGAGAGACTATTTGCTAATTTTCTGCTGTTTCGCTCAAACCTTAACTGGCTCAACTGGTGAAGCCATACAAGTTTGGATATTGAGTGTAACAGTAATGTAATTACCGGAGTTTTAGATCATTGCGGCAATTTAAAGTCCATGGTTTAAGTGCGGTAGACTTGCCGGTTGATAATCTAATGAGTAAACTGCAACTGGAAAATGTTTGATGTGTGTTTGCCACTGTGATGATAATTGGAAAAACTTCACACCACTCCATTCATATCCATCAATAGTTACTAGAAGTTTAAACATAAGATAAATATCACAAACAAGTATACAACTTGTAAGAGTGAGTTACTTGTGAGTGGGAAATGTTGAGTTTTCGGTGAGCAGATTAATCTTAAAACACTGTCAATTACTTGATTCTTGGGATCTAAGTCTTTTTCTTTTTCTTTCTTTTTTCCCAATCGCATAACTAAATTTACATAAACAACAGTTGTAGAAAAGGTACAGCAAACATAATATAAGATTTAACATTTTATTTATCATGGATGAAGTAAAATATAAAGAATATAAGTCTAGTTGACCAAAATAATTTCTGACAGCCCAAACAACTGTGAAATTTTAAAATGTGTGATACAAAGAAAGTTACTAAATCAAACAATTAATGAATCCTCAAGACTTAAATGGTACAGCTACATAATTTTGTCAATAATATTAGTATTGAATACAAATTATTATAGCTGTGTGTATAGATAATTTGCTTACTTTTTTGTTTTTTTTCCTTAATATAGCTCACAGTAAAAAATGCTAGTGGTTCTTCATTGGTCAGAAACAGTCTTGAGATATGTAAACTCTTAAAACCAGTCTTTAATGTGAATTTGGTATCCACTCTCTTACTGCTTGGTTCATTGCCTCTAGTAGTAACTTCCTTGTTAGTATTTGGCACCAACCAATAGTCGAGTTGTAATTCTAAGGGCTCACATAACTCCCTGTTGGTAACAAAATTGTTAGATAACAAAAGTATTTAAGGTTATCAAGTATTTTAATAATTATTTTAAGTATTTTACCAATTAACTTGCTTTGTGGGTGGAGGCAAGTATTGCATTCCAATATTGGGTGAATTGGGCGGTGTAGTCTTGTCTAAAATGGACTTACGATCAATGATGATTGAACATTGATCATCAGTATCATTTGAACCTGATGCCGCATCCCCAGAGCAAATTCTCACATCCTATCAAATGATACGGTTGTAATAAGTTTACAAGGTAAATACAAATTTAGTAAGTTAAAATCAAAAATTATTTTTATTTAAGAGAAAATATATAAATATATAAATAAATATACTCTACTCAACGAGAGAACGCACCATATCTGTGAGTCCTCTACTATCAAGACCGGTTTCCCTATAACAGAGTATCTTGTGGGGATGCACAGAAGAACCGATTTTAGTCGGCCAGTAGCGCATTCTCTCATTGAACAGAGTGTAAGTATATGTTTAATAATAACAATTTTTTTTTTAATTACAATAAAAACAATTAAGTTATTATTTTTATTTATATGAAGTACTTCAAATATTATTTAAAAATTATTCGTCAACTTTAAGTCTAGAACTTCTAGATTTCTCTCCAATTTTCAAAAACAAATTTAATGTTAACTTACATTGACAAATGGTATGAATGTTTGTAAGGCTTCATCATCAGAACTGTAAAAGTAAATTAAATATATATAACATACAGGTATAGTTTGTGTCGAATTTTCATAATATAATTAATATACCTTTTTTCTTTATATGATAGCATTGCTTCAGCAATCTGCAATTGGATTGTATTAGAGGCTTCCATGATGTAATTTTGGATTTTGACTATTATATCTGTTCCATCCCCACATTCCAATTGTTCTTTCCAGTAATCTTCTTTGAACAGAAATGTTGTACCATAATAACTGTCGACTGTACCCAAGTATCTTGAGAGAGTGTTAATTCCTGCATATTATAATTGTATTGACATTACTTATACATACACAAACTTTATTATTTATGTGTATTACCTAATGGTATAATATAAAATTTAATATAATTCATCCAGTCAGGTGGCTTGAATGATAACTGTTCTACATACTGTCGTAATACATAGTTTACAAAGCTATCAGAACCAGCAAGCAATATCTTCATTTGACTCGGGGGTTTGGGGTTAGAATTACAGCTAAAATAATAATAATAATAAAAAAAATAATATATATATTATTATTATTATTTTTGGTAGACACGAAGTTGAACAAGGTGTCACAAAATATGTAATACATAACAAATTGTTAGCTACAGTTCTTAGGAATTAATTTTTGTATATTTGAGTATTAGACTTACTATTTCTGTATCTTATTAATAATGCACACAAAAGTAGCACGCACGTCGGCTAATCCAGCTGGTGTGATAACTTTGAATTGGTAATTCTGCAGTTTGGATGCAAGCTGACAACCCAATGGATCTGCATAGTGTATTAAACATAATACTTCAGGCATTTTATCTTCGGGAGGTAACACTTTGGACAGTTGTTCCATCAATGCTTTTCTAGGCTGCATGTATAAAAACATAAATTTAGTAAGTTAAGCATACATACAATATAAATTACAGAAAGGTTTCATTTAATATTAATTTTGAATCAACTATAACTACTATAATTATGTTTGGTTGGGATTATAAGAGATTTTAATCTGAGAATAAAATGTGTAATAATTAATTAATTTATGTATTCCAGCTATTGCTGGAAGTTATTGTTGGTGACATTTTTTTATAAACATTTTTTTTTTTTTTATAACATCCATGACATTATATCCTACCTGATATTGAGGTTTTATTGAACCTTGACAATTGAATATGTATATATTTTATTCAATAATGGTATTTTCTAAACTATTATTTTAAATAAATGTTTAAGTATATCTAATTTTGTTTTCAAGTATCCAATGTTTGATAAAGATTAGAACCTAGTGTAATATTATAACTGCAATTTTCTTTTTCAATTGAAACATAATAATTACAATTTTATATGTAGTAGATATTTTCTGAGACATACTAATTAGTTATTTATTATTGTCATATAGTTAGAAGATTGGAAGTTGGAACTCGTAAAGGTAATTCACATTTAGTAAGCCACTAAAACGACTAATTAGGTTGTTTAGTTAAATGTCTAGACAAATGGTACATTTTTATTAAAATTTAAACTTGAACTATTTGATTAAATATATTTAGGTAGTGATATACCTCAACCATGGAGACTACATTTTCTCCTGAACCTCCAGTACCAGTCCCTGCATTTGTACGATCATTGTCATTTATCTGCTTCGGCATTGGAGACTTCTTATACTTATTCGACGATGAAGTACGGTCCCTTGTGAAAATTCTTGATTTTTTTTCTTTTTCCTTTTCTACCGTGCCAGGAGTTTCCTTTATAACACAATGTACATCATTAGCATTAAAATGCACCAATTGCCAGTTCTAAAATATACAATATATAAAACCTTTTTATCGTCATTGTTGCCCATTTTCGGAGGTGATGAATTCATCGGAGTAGGGTCACTGTCCGTCCATGTGTCCAAATACGAATCAGAATCAGCCTTTTTTGAACTTTCGTCACTAAATCTTTCAATGTTACGTTCTACGGTTGGCACACCTATGTCATTAAATAAATATATACACATATTGATGAGTATAATATACATATATTTTTTTTGAGAATCTGTTGGGTTTTGTAAGCATACAATATATCTTCCCCAGCCAATATTTGTTTTATTAATTTGGCAAATTGTTAGCAAAATCATGATACAAATTAATTAAGCGTGAAGAAAATATTGAACATGCTAACTGAAAATAATTATAGCAGTTAAAGATTTTCAAATAATATTTATTATAACAATAACATTAAAATATGGGGTTTGTTAAAAACTATGTTAAGTTAAATAATACTAAAATCTAATTTTAATTCTTATTACTAAGTAGTTTTTAAGACTAGGAATAGGTATCGTTCTTTAGGTAAAAATCCCCGGGTTGTATTTTAATTACAAGAATAAAACATATAACGTAATGAATTTGGATATATTACAGTATCAGTATAGAATTATGATAAATGGTAACATTTTAACAGATGGTCATGTTAATAGTGTCACCTAGAATTGCTGGGCTGTCTCAGGCTGAATTTCATAAATTAAGACTGTAGTCTGAAAGGCAAGTAAGCTTCAAATTGAGTTCCTAAATGGCTAAATATAATGTGTTATGTTAGTTTGGCAGGGCCTCACCATATTTTTCAACCCATCTCACACGTCTAGCACTGGTAATTGCGGCTCTGCATGTTATACATTTGATAATTTTATCACAGTAAACGGTCATTTTACACTTTTACTATTGAATAAATATAAAAGTATAATAAAACAAACACAAATACATACCTATATAGTGCTATATAGAACGGTAACGTTCTATCACATGAAATCGTGTTAAAAAATTGACAACTGAATTGCTATAAACATTTTCAGATTTAATTTTAGTAAAATTAAAAAATACGAAATAAGTGTACACGGTTTTAAATAAAAAGAACGGCGAAATTGTGAGCAATGTTATCGAATTAAATTTTTAATATATGAAAATGGGTTTTATTTTTTTTTTTTTAGAAAGGTTAATTGTTTGCTTTAACAATAAACATGATGTAGGCACACATAATGTAAATATTATTGTGCCAACTCCAAGACAACAATACAATTATTATTTTCGAAACGAAATAAAAATGTCTTCAGCAACAAACATTACGGCCAATTGCAGTATGACAGTTAAAATTCAAAAACCTAATCTCGTATTTACGGAGGGTGTTAAATTTTGAACTCTGGGATGCTCTGATGCCTTCCCTCTTCTAAGTTATGGGCGATTTTGTTATATGGCCTCGAAAGTTTGTCTCCCGCAACAGCCGCAATTGTGTGTTCGACACTCCCGCGTTAATTAAAAATAAATGTTTTTATTTTTTATTATCGGAATTCGTTTCCACAATAACGTAGAGTTAATTTATTGTGCTATTCAAATTTACCCATACAGATGAAGTGTGAAATAAACGCTCTTATTACGCGACTACAATTTATATGTGCTTGATTTAATTAGAATTTATTGTTCGTGCGTAGAGCTTATATGATTATTTATTATTATCGCGCCGGCTAACTGTTCTAAGAAAAAAACACCATAGACCGAATCCAGCGCCATTTCAAGCTCCGGGTAATTGTTTTTGTTTGTGTGCGTTCGACATAGCATTCATTCATTATGAAATTAACACGTTTGTTTATGATTCTCAATGTCGTGAAATCAAAATTGTGTTCCCAGAAAAGTCGAAATAACATTAAGGCACTAACGACTAACAGGTGCAACGACGATGGTTTTAAGAACCTATTAAAAGTTTCAAAACTGTTTTGGATTAATTATAGGTAGGTATCGATTAAACAATTTAATACTGCCTATGCTGATTCTAATGTTTTTTAAACGTATCAAATTAATAAACAAACTATTAACGGTAGATGACAGTTTATTGGTAGTTTTAAAATTATGAACATGTGGCGAAAAAACCTTATAAATACCCTCGTCCACAAGACAAGTTTCACAAACCGACTGTGTCGCAAATAATGAAACAGCCTGTAGACTGTAGACTTGGCCAAAAAGTGGTGAATTGGATTGAGAAATGGCGTCATTAGTCCGGCACTGTTGTAAGTAAATTATCGAAAGATACGAGTAGAAATGTAGAGTAAAGTCTTGGCGGGTAAAAAGGAAGAATGCTAAGGAATTTGTGTGACGAAAATAATCTTAAGAATAAAATACATTATTACAAACATGTGAGGTGGCAATGATAAAAGGAACTGAATGTTGAGTGGAGTATTAGAGAGAAAAACATCATTGGGATGGTTTGGGCGTACATACGGGGGAAAATTTAGCATTTCAGCATCGAGAGAAGTTGACCGACCGGAAGGGCATAGCCATTAAGGGAAAATAGTGATGTATGAAGTCTTGCAGACTTGGTTGATTTATGTATGTAATATGTACTATAGTAGATATTGTAGATTGTAGATTCTCTTGTAGATTTAAGATAAACTATTGATTTTTGACAAAATTAATGTTAATATACTTATAAATTTGTGCAATTTTACTATTACAAATGTAAAATATCATAGAAACATATTTTTATATAATATCATATTTAAGATTTATGAAAATATGGTTTGATAAATATAAAGGTCCAAATATTCTTTTGCAACAGGATTTCATGAAGAAAATGTAATAAAAATATATTAAGTAGTTCTTGTAATTTAAATTAGTCCAGATTGGATAATGGGTCTCGGCCTGACTCTCCGGACCATAGATTATATAAGAATAGGTGGGCCACCGAATTTGCAACGTGAGAATGAACATTTTAAGGTTTCAAGGGATCTTATCAATTATAGAACAAATCAAATTAATGATAAGATCCCTTGCTGGAGTAAGAGCACTATATCAAAATCAGTTTGTCTCTCATCCACATACTGGAATGCAACTTCTGTTTTAGTTAGTATAGGAATGGCCTATTCATTCTTATATTATCCGTGGGACTCACAATGAAAACGAATTATGAATAGTCCTTGCCACGAATCTAACCACCATTTCAAGTCAGTGGTTTTCTTAACGTACGGTTTGTTGATACGTGTTGCGCCCGATTGCAATAACCGGTTTAGTTTTAGAACCCATGGCTAACGGGCTGTGTTAGGGGCTAGTTTTCGTGGAAAGGACTGTAGTGATATTAAAAATGAACGTATTAAAAATTACAACACAGACACAAAATCTATACTGTAAGAAAATTGAAATAATAATAATTAAAAACTGTTAAACTAATATTTACAAAATACAATAAATGGTTAAGCTATAAATAGTATTATCTACAGTATTTAAAAATATAATGTAATTTTTTAATGTACAATTTATTATTCTAAATAATAAATAATAATAATAATAATAATAATAAATTATTATTATTAAACTATGTTTTTTAAGAAAATTATACGTGTTTTCAATTTGTTTTGTTGTGATTTTTAATCATTTTTGAAGTCAAACATTTTCTTCTATAAGTATATTTGAATGGTCATTTATTAATGACCCAATAGTTATTTATAAGTTTATAACTTATGAGTATTTCAAGTTTGATAAGCAAAGCAAAGTACAGGGGAAAACATCTCACAACATTTTGATGGGCAATTATTATGATCATTAAAACTTTGAAATACTTATAAACAAAATTGTATATTCATAATTAATATTACCAGAGTAGAAATTGATAAAAATATTCGATTTTAAAAGTGAGTTATAGATTAGAAAAAAATGGTAAAATCATCAAGAAAAAAAAATTTAGGCTAGTAACATAAATATACTTACTTCATAAAAAACACAATAATCGACTGAGATTATGAATGTTGATAATCACTATAATATACATTTCTTTATCATGCACATGCAAAGAGTTTAATATACTAATTACTACTAATAATAAATATGTACAAGTTTAAAAAATGAAAATAATAATACATATTTATTTTATTATATAATAATATTATTGTTATGTGTAAATTACTAAGTATTTAAAATGGGAATTTCATTGTTAAAATGTTGTCTTAAGAGAATATAGAAATTGTTAGTAATATTAAGTGCATTGGATATAAAGAAAATACAACAAAAGAAGATACTTTGTGCTTATAACTGCATTTTGGTCGGGAATTTTCATAGTGCTAACCTTTGGTTCTGTTGTAAGGCGGAAAACTTGTGGTGTGACTTTTCTTATGGGAATGCCGTCCTAGTGACAGGGTGAAAAAATATAAAAATAATTTAAGTGAATATTACTTTTTAAACAATATTTGGATAAAAAGCATTATGTTACAATTGTTACAATATAAATAAATAAAAATAATTATTAGTGATGGACACAACCTAATGCATAATTTTGTGTTATTTTAACTTATTTTTATGGGTTTACAGGTACTTTGTATTTTTAAACTAAGTTATTTGTTTTAGTTTTAAATGTTCCAATTAATTCCACAGTAATAAAAATTAATATTCATAAAAAATATTTGTATAAATGTTGGGGTTATTAAAACACGCTCAAGCTAATAAATTGTCAGATATATTTTTACTGCTACAAAATGATTCCAGCTATGTATGTCTAATTCAAAGAAAACTATGAATACGAAAAGTAAGATTGGTCCACCACTATTATATATTTATAAAAAACAGTATAATATATTATATAATATCAACCCATCAACGGAACTGTATTAACATATTAAATCAAATGTCAGGGGCGGACACAGGAAAAAATTTCGGGGAGGGGGGGGGGTCGTTGAAAAAATAAGAATAATTACCATTATTTTGAAATAATTATTTATTGGAAGATAAAATAACTATAACGTTTTAGATTAACCATCCATTTATTTCGGTGGGGGGAGGGGATTGAACCCCCAAAACCCTCCCTGCGTCCGCCACTGTCTAATGTACATTTTATAAAAAAAATACAAGTAGTAGCAATCAATAATATAACAACAAAAACAACAACTATACAAGTATGAAGTATTTTACGTAGTATTAAATGTATATATATAATATATATATATATTATAAATACTAAATATAATATCAAGATTTAAAAAAAGTGTAATACCAGTGTATTTCCTAAATTTGTGAAGTTTAAAAATGTGTAAAACGTAAATAGTGTAAAGAGTACGTTTTTTCTAAACTACAACAATTTGTGTTTTGTTATACCTTAGCGCGCACAAAGAGCTGAAAGCTGGTTATATAAGGCAACATTTGTAATATAAGTTGTTTTCGTAGTCGCTAACGATAAACAAGCGCAAATCATTCAAATTGTTGGCAAAGCATACCGCTAGAGCTTCTCGTCAAAATGTTGCGGTCATATGAAATTTTTATTAATTATAAATTAAATGAATAGGTTTATTATACGACACATAAACACACTTAATTCAATATATAAAAATATTAGATACAATGACACAGTGCTGTCTTTATTAGCACATTGTCATTAGTAATATATGCAAATATACATCGAGTTCATAGCGAACAAATAGAAGAATCATTCACATGCTAATTTTTCAGAGTAAGAATTAAATATTATAAACATATGGTTATTTCGGCAGATCCAAATTGGCATGTTTTGTTAAAATATTAAATTGGTTATCTACAAAAACCGATTTTCAAGCCGTATCATTAAAAATATTGTTTAATTCTTAGAATTCTGTCATCTTATAATGTTTTATTCAAATCTTAGAAGAAGCCAAAAGGCATTAGTTGAAAATATTAGATGGAACACTTTTTGACTTAAGTACCTCAAAACTCGATATTTTGTATTCAATGTTTTTATTTAACAGCAGATTTAATGTTTTTTTTTTATAAGCAAGTTGTTATATGACTTTAAGTAAGAAAAACTAGAAGTGAAATGGAAGTTATTTGGATAATATGTATGAATATCAAATAATAATTTAAATATTTGAAAAACATACTTTATATTATCATATAAGGATAATTGAACTGTTTTATATTTTTGTGTTGTATCAATTGCAAAAATATTTACTTTTTAATTGTGTTTTACTATTTTATTACATACAACTTCAAATAACAAATTTTATATCATTGAGTGTCTATACATATTATAACAAGAAACACAAACCTTTAATGTGGTATATATTAAATAGTTTAGTTATATTATGTAGACATACAAAATAAAATTATGTTATGTAAATAAATAAATCACTCTACTCTGAATTTTACAATTATTTGTTTTGGGCCATCCTCATATAAATAGTTGATGGATTTATATGACAAATAAAATAAAAGACTTGATTAAAAAAATAAAATCCTTTTTTTATACTTGAAAATACAATATGACTGTTGATTTAAAAAATAAATTAGCTAACTATTATTTTAAAAATAAAAATATTTTATTGTGAAATATATATATATATAACAAGGGATACACCGTGTTTTGAGATACTCTTGGTTATAATTTATACTACAAACCTGAGATGCCTTCATGTATCATATTTGTACGAGAGCTTGAAAAGAATGGACGTAGTGATGGTTTAGGTGTAGATAAAATAGATAATGTATCCAAATCAGGCCCAGAGTCACTCAAATCTTCTAGCTCCTCAAAAAGATCTTCAATATCTGCTGGGTCCATGTCACCGCCTATAACAACAGTAATGTACATGCATTGAACTAACACAAATAAAATATAAATATTTTTTTAAATTTATCTATCAAATATACCTGACAGTTTTTGACTTATGGTCTCTCTATCATTTTCTAATGAATGCAAATCTTCATTAACTCTGAACCTTTTCAGAAGTGCAATAAATTTTTGTTTTAGATTTCTTTGCTGTCAATAAAGTAGAACAAATTTGCATTAAAATGTTATACTATAATTTATTATTAAAATTATGATCTCAAAAAAATAACATAATAGTTTAAATTACTCTTGCATTTCCAGTTGCGATATTTTTCTTGCGCCGTCTATCTTCCAAAGTTGGTTCAGAATCTGATGCTTCTTCCCCACTGCTGAACTCTTCATCTTCATCAGAATAATCTGGACCCCTTCCTACACAATTTGAAATAATTCATTAAATATACATACACATTTTAATATATTATGGAACAGAATAAATTTGCTTGTTAATTATTTTTAAATTAATTACCAGTAACAGGTTTTGTAGCTTCTTCGTGATCCACAGGTTGACTATTTAAGCACATGATATATACACGGCCGATAAGAGACTTGGGGTCTTTAGGATCACTTAATAGTTCTAGTTCGAGATCAAGAGGTCTTTGTAGTACCTATATAAAAATAGTACGTTTGAAATGTATAAAAGTTAATATTTTATTAGTTGATATAATTACAAGTGACATATTAATAACTCCTTCGGCCAATGTTTTGAAACCAAGTATAGTACGGTTTTTGTACTTCTTTCGACGTTGAAGCATTACGTGTAATTTGTTAACGTCTCGTTTCAAAAAGTGTGGATACTGCGGAACAAATACATTTCAAGACTCGTAGTGATTCCCTATTGTTTTAGAACAGTAATTAAATTACATACCTGAAGACAGAAGTTTAACTGCAATTCTATTTCGAGAGATCCGTTTGCTGTCAGGGGCAGTTCATTTGTTCGTAAGGTTCTCTTTGATCCCTTAATTTTATACAATTAGATTCAATAAACAAATATGTATTGAGTTTTGCTGCTTTAATTAAAATAGTTGATTCAATTTATAATACGCACTTGCATTTTTACAGCTATAGTTAACGAAGATGACATATCTGATCCCAGGGGTTTGGTTAGTACCAGTTTTGTTAAATTCATTGAACATACCCTAAAACATAATTAAATAGTTGAGTAAATGTTTGATTAAAATAATTGTATACAGAATAGTTTCTAGTATACCCTTACATTTTTGTATACATTGAATACCTATAAGTTTATTATTTATAGGTAACCTATAAATAATTAAACAAAAACGAAAAGTTGTTTAGTGATTACATTATACACATTACTGAGAAATGCATTTATATTTGGATATAAATAAATAATTATATAAACAATAATCGTTAACATATGAATTACTTCCTTCGATTTCAATACATTTATTATACATTAATGGTTGAACAAATATTTATGCTTATAAATAGTTTTAGAGTAGGATTGAAATATATAAACTACAGCGGTTAACTTATTAGCTGATAGGTACTACACAATAATCTATCAGATACATTATACAGATAATAAATTGCTTCCAAAAATACGAGTTAATTGAAAATATATAATCATATAACTATCTTATATAATATTGTAAAAAATTTTAAAATAACCTGTCTTATATGTCATTCACATTCGCTAACATACCATATATTAGGTATTATTATATACATAGTATAATATATAAATACCACATGAATTTGTTATTGATAAATTGTAAAATTAACTACATATTACCTAACGAAATACTTACTTGTATTTCTTAATAGCAAATTTAAAGTCAATTATTATCTATTTCTAATGACGATGTGATACTTATGTGAAATATTAGAAACTAGAATAAGATTTCGATGTGGATAATATATAACATAATAAGAGCAATAAGACATATAATTTAGATTATAACACAATAATCAATACATATAGAGTTAAAATTTTTTTATCAATACCTAGCTATAAGTTATAAATTTTGAAACTAGAATTTTTTTCCCGTAAAAGTATACTGTGCAATTATTGTCATACTACACTACGCAATAACCCCCAGAGGCGTCTATAATAAATAAATAAATTATTAATACAATGTTATCTGACAGTGTAGTAAAAAAACACAAGACAATAGAAAACAATACTTCAAATTACAGGTGAATAATGTTTTATTGCATTAAATACTTGGGATTTATGCAATATTAAAATCATCATTCATCGTCAATAAACAAACTAAAATAGAAGTCCAGTCAACCTGTCATTATGAATAATTATAGACATGGAAATACATCATATCGTCTAAATGTGAAATAGTGACTAATTTCGTAAAAAATGAATTGGGTGTTATTAGTAAGAATAAATCGATAAAAAAATCAGTGAAATTTAATGTTTCACTCTTAAAAATAATATTATTTTAATTTTTAACAAAAAAAAATTGTTTCATATAATTGCATATGATAATTGGTTGAAATAAGTCTCACATTATACATTAAATTGTATGTCCATTAAATAATTAACTGTTTTAAAAATATTAGTTTTAACTTGAGATACTCGCATGGGTTGTCTCCGTTACAAACTTACAACATTTAGAGACATCCAAAATCCGGCCGTCTATACCTGTCTCTTTGGACCCTAAACGAATAAACATTTATTTTATTATCAGTGATAATTTACGGTGTGTTCGATTGAGAACGTTTTATCTTTTTAGCAACACGATTGAGAACGATGTCGGCAGATCAAAGAAACAATATTTTGTACCTTAAAATCAAACGATTGAGAACGATATTTCTAGCGACGTTGGCATTTATCTTAACTTTTAGTAATAATTTTTAGGGCTGGGATTTTGATGCAAAGGCATCTTTTTTGGTGTTTTGAAACGATGTTTTGTAAGCATAAAATGTGTAAACTGATTTTTTTTTTGTATTTTTTTTAAAAAAAATCCATTTTTTGGGCATTTTTCACAATTTGTTTATAAAATGTACGACAATTCATGAGATTAACAAGAGACACTTGACACACTGTCTCAATCTTAAGCTGACAATTATGTTGTATAAAAATATAATTTTTTCACTTTTAATCTTAAAAAAATGGCTTAAAATAAGCGAAGAATGTATTGATTTTACAATGATATGTGTGTGTGTGTGTGTTTTTTTATCAAATTTAAAATTTAAATATGATTTTTTTTGTTAACAATTAAATGTTTAACTTTAATAGCTAAGGATTGAAAATTTAAAACAAAATTCCATGTAAGTTTATTTTGTAACCAAAATATAGTGATTGATATCTTATATATATATTGTATATTGTATTTTTATTATTTTTATTTTTAATTAATGTGGCAACGTTGTATAAAAGTGAACTGGTAAGAACGTTCTCAATCGTGCTATTATAAAAGGTACGGCCGATAAGGACCGTTCTCAATCGTGTTCTACCCATAATTTATCACATTTTACGTTTAGAATAATTTATTCAACTCTGTTGTTTTTAATATTACAAATAAAGTACAAATGGATAATTCTGATCGGAAATTGCCATGTTCAATGTTATGTGTTTATAAGACGGACACAACACGTGCGAGTATGACGTCCTCTTAAGTTAATTAATAAGTAAATACGAATGTAATCTTTTGAAGTGTGCACAGTATGAATGTTATGCTATTGTATAGATAATAAATAAATGGATCGGCCATTTGAGCTTATCGTATTAGGAGGATTAAGTGGATGTATAAGTATTATGTAATAGCTAGGTAGTACTTGCAAGAAAGAGAAGACATAGATAATATTATATATTGTATGCTGACCTTTTGTAATCAGTCTCTCTTACCCGATCATAACCGCGATCCTACACAGACATACAGTAGGTAGTCAGTAATTTGTATAATTCAAGCAGACATAAAACTATTCCCAAACCAATTATTATTAGTGCGTCTGTCCAGTAAGTGAGAGGTAGGTAATAATAATGATTTAATAGAAAATAATGAACTAATTATTATTGAAGGCCAGGTTTTCCTGTAAGGGGAGGGGGTAAATGCCATAAAATAATATCTTTAAACATCACGAAAATCCATTATATTTTCTTGATTGTAACATTAACTATGTGAATATACTAACTATAAATACACTAAATATAAACATATTTTGTTGTATCATCAACCAAATTAATTAAACGATCAGAAATGGAACGAGATGTTCTTTAACTGTAATAATGTAATTTTGATTCAAAATATGATAAATAAATTTATTATGCACATTCAAAATAATTTTTAATCATCTTAATTTATGGTAATTATAATAATATTAACATGGTGAGGAGTAAAAATAAAAATAAAATTAACATAACTGTTAGCATAACTAATAAAGCCCATTTAAACCAAAACAATAAAGCAATTATAAGGATAGTTAGGTAATAAGTTCATTCAATATCACAAGCTCAAAAAATTATTATTGTTTTAGATGTATATAAATTGTTTTTTGAATATTATCTAAGGCTTGTTATTGTTATTTGTTAAGTAACTTAACTAAGCGTATGGACTGTGTTAGATATAGTACTCGTATTGAGCATTCTATTAAAGTGGATTCTTGAATATATAAAGTGTATTTTTAGCTCTAAGATATTTTTTACGTAGGGCAATAATGTCAACGATCATCATAGCTAAAAAGTTGAGAAAAAAAAAACATTTCAACCCCACCAAGTAATTGGATCACGAATCCCGACATTATTGAATCAAAATTAAAGTAGAGATAAATCCCACCCTCAACAAAACTTTTACACTTGAGCGCTAAACCCTAACCATTCAAATAGTAATATTACTTATTTCTTAAGTCTGGAATTAAAAATTGAAAAAAATAACTATTGAAACAACAGACAGCAAAAAAATAATATAAAAATGCAATGTACCTACAATGAAAGTTCAATAAATAAAATTAACAATTGCTGAACACGTGTACAATTTATTTAACATTTAACATTTTTATCAATTACTCATATACATATCGATAGTCATTAATATTTTGTTCACTAACTACGTACTGATAGTAATTATTATGTTTTAAAATTCAACATTAGCTGCAATTCTTAATGGCTGTACAGCATCAACTAAATTTATCATTTTAAAAATGCGTTAGTCAGTATTATTTAACTGTATGATTTGAAATTCAACATTCATGATGAATATTATTATTTGTTTCAAGAAAAATTTATAATTTTTAAATTATTAGTTAGGATTCTTTTAAGGTTAAACAGTATTTTTCGAAAAGTATTAACGTTTTTTAAAATATTTTTTACATAAATTTAAGTCAAATTATCAAAAAAAGGTAAGCAAATAGGTACCGCTCTGGCATTCATTAGTTGTCATGGGGTCATGCGGGTCACTGAACTGGATGATGTGTTAAATTTGAATTCAATGATATAAAATTAATGTTTATATACTAAAAACGATTCTGAGTAAAGACGATCTCTGTTAGCCTATATATTTAGTTTATTTTATGATATTATTGCTATTAAAGTAATTTATTTTACAATTAGACATTAGTTAAACAGTACGTTGAATTAATTTTTACTAAAAAATTTCATACGAAAAAGTCATTGTGATTAATAATAATATACTAAGTTTGAAGTACCCATGAATATTATTTAATTTTTTAAATCCCAACATAATAATTCAAATTATTATTCTTCGTTTAAATATTTTTTAGATTTTAGGTTACAGTATAAAATACTTAAGAGACTCTTGTTTTAAATGTCCAATCCTCAATTATAAAGATTAAAAATGTTATAAATGTTTAATTTTGTCAACATTTGAACTTAGAATGCTTATAAAAAACTATGTATCATGAATAATATATTTTTGCTATTAAAACATATTAAATTTTCAAGTTTTTTGACCAAGCTAAAAAATTTTTTATCGATAAATATAGATAAAAAACATTGAAAATAAAGTGATTAAATAAACATTTGGTAAAAATTGTAAATATCTATAATTAAGGGTTTAAAATTTTGAATTACAGCAACAAAATAAGAAAATAGTTCGATGAGAAATAGCTTGGACAAATATCAAATGTCATAAAACTTTGAACTGAAATAATCTGACCTTCTGGTAAGCTTTTTTTTGTTTAAGGGAGAATGACTTATGTT